CAGCCATGGATGCATCGCTGAGGTCCTAATCCAAATGCTAGCCTTCACCTGGCATTTTTAGCAACATCCAGAAGGAAGGCTCAGGGCTGCCACTCAAAAAAATGCATAATGAAAAAATTAAGTACTGGATGGCTTAGACTGAGGCCAGTTAATTAACCCTTTGAAGGCTGAAATGTCTTGAACTGTATTTTGTCATTTGTCTTAATCATTATTGCATGACTGGTTTTTAATACCATTTGCCAACAGTATCGTTTTTTTTTAAGAGGTGGCATCACATGCAGTTTGCTCCTTATTTTTTCTTGGTGAGTTACATGTGGTGAGTCTTTATAGGGGGTATTTCAGGTTGTCTTTAAGATGATGTAGTTACTTTACAGCTGTCAGGCGTATTAAGCAAAAATTAAGACATTATACTGCATTATACAGCCTGTGTCCTAAAAAAGGAGGGGAGGTTGGAATCTTTTTTCCCATGTTGTAATTGAAAAGAAAGCTCTTCTTGGCCTTTAAAAAACTCTTATTGACCTTTCTTCCCCCAGGCATTTCCCAGGTCTCTGGCTGCTGCCCTACACTCTTCCCCTGATGTTACAGCCGGTCACAGCTCCCTCTCATGCACCCCGTGGCTGCCTGTTCCCTCTTTAAATAGTTTCTTGGCAACCACTCATGCCCTCACCCTGCAGCCCTGGGATCTCATGGTTCCCCCTCTTATCTCAGGCCCTTCAGCAATACTGAAACCCATCAGGGAAGTTCCATCAATAGCTGCAGGACAAATGGCATTGTAGGTCCATCCAAAGACAAAGCAGTGGCTCCAAGAACAGAAATCTGTTAATGCATAAGTAGGAACCATTTTGTGTCATGGACTGGCTGAAAAATGGAAGTTATGGACTGACCAGGGAAAAGGTGAGTCATCCTTCCTGTACTGGTGAAGAGAAGGGGAAAAGGTGACTCATCCTTCCTGTACTGGTTTTAGTGTTGGTTGGGGGTTTTTTTCCAGTTTGCTGCTTTTGTTCTCACTGGAGGTGGATGGAAAACTGCTTGACAGGAATTAGAAAATAAATCTGTGCTGGGTTCATAGTCTGGAAAAGGGCTTGTTGAAGCTGCTTTAAAAACCAGCCCTATAGAAATGTTAGTAAATCTGAGTAATTAGCTATGCTCTTTCATAAACAGTGTAAAACATGACTAAAGTGTCCGGGTGTCCTTGAAAAAAGCAGCAGGACATGGAGGTAATTCCCACTGCAGTGATTCCCTGCAAAGCAGAGAAGGGATGGGAGGTCCAAGGGTTCGAGGAGCAGATTGCCTTGGTCAAGGAGGCTGCTCTGACATCTGCAGGCAAGGGTAGGTGCTTAACTGTATGGCTTATCCCAGTGGAGTGGTGTCTGGGAAAATTAATGCATAATTATGGATTCTGGTCATGTTACTGTAAAGGTTAAGACAAACCAGAGCACCTCTTAAAGTGCTGTCGAACCTCCATCTTGGAGACATTCAAAACTGCTGCTCCAGGCCTCAAGCAACCTGATTTAAGCAGAGTTTTGGACCAGATGTCCTTTCCAAACCCTGCTATCTTATGAGTTGACCACTTTTGCCACTACATTTAGCCCAAGGCCACCAGATTCCTGGAAAAGCAGACCATATTAACAACTAAATACTGACCAGGACAGTTAAAGATTGCTGGTGAAGCTGTAGGAAGATACTAAGAGAGTCTAGAAACAGAACGCAAGTTATTACAAAGGTGATGAGGGAAAAAAACAGGAGTCAAACTATTCCCAAGAAACTTTTTTCCTTTACAAACAGCATGAAATAAATGCTGCTCAGAAAAAAAAAGAAAAAAAAAAAGAAAAAAAGAAAATAGAAGAAGCTTGCTGTTTCAAACTTCTCCTCTTTGCTTTAAGACACCCAGTGTTAAGGATAGCAAGTGGATAGACTGAGCACTTAGAAAACTGGTAAAAGAGAATCTTGAGCAATCAAGAGTGGGCTCTGTGGTGAATAAACCCAAGGATACTTCGAATTTGTGAGGATCCTGAAATAAAAGTCTGAGGATTTTTCTTTAGCCTGCTACTCAGAGAGAAGCTGTGTTATTTTAGAAATTGGTGCAGAGATTGTGACATTTATCACACATCCAGGAAGATGGAAATTAAGTTTGAAGATGCTCTCCTGGCTGAAGTCCATAAGGACAGATGTTTAAGGGATTAATACCACTCCATATGGCAGAGGGTCTCCTGCAGGATTACCAAGAAAAAGCAGTAACAAACTTCCCTCCCTCTGGCTGGCTGCTTCCTGCAAACCGCCATACTGCTCCTTTTGAACCAGGCAGGAGTTTTGACACTGAACCATTTAAGTGCTGTTGGGTGAACGTCCTGCAAGCCTTTGATTAGAGCAATGCAGTGCTCGTTAGATTGACTTGTTTTAACGTGTTTCCAATGCAGGAGAAAAGACAAATAATTAGAAGTAAACTCTGTGTTGCTGTTTCAGAAATTATGACCCATCATTGTTTTGACAGTCTCTAAACAATGGCATAAATGGGCTGAGTAATGTGACCAAGCGTCTAGAAAAGCCTTATTCCAGAAAACAAAGATAGTAAATCACATGATACCCCGTGAGATGGGTTGTTTTGCCAGATTAGTGCTTCAGGGGAAGCGAGAACACTTTCAGTAACTGGGATATTTCTTCATCAGTTTCAGACAAATTCAGGGTCACCACCGCCCCTTCTTCCCCACCTCCCACTTTGCTATTGTAATTTTTAATTGGTGGTATATATCAAAGGCTGGTGGTCATCTATATTTGCTGCCAGAGTAGCCTATTTTTTCCCTTTCTAAAGTGCTTAAAAAGCACTCATGGGGGGGATGGGAAGCCTTTGGTGCCTCTTTTAACACCAGCAGACAATCCTGTAGAGTGAAATGCAGGCATTAAGAACCACTTAAGAGTAAAACATCACCAGGACAACCTTTCAATGTGTGTTGAATTTAAACCATTGATGATGCCCCACCCTAAGGTACAATTCTCTGTTTTGTACCATGTAAGATGCAGGACCAAAACACCAAGAAACTCAATAAGGACAATTTTGTTTTGGCATGACAATGCAACACAGAGCCTTTTGCATTGTGCCTCTAGGAATAGTGTTCAAAAGGGCCATGTGAGTTTCTGAGAAGATGTGGCCTTTTTATGTGTTGGCAACTGGGTTGCACTGATGACCTGAATTTGTTCACCTTTGTCTAGGTATTAGCATCCGTGTTGTCTGGCAAAAACTGCCTGCTCTGACTGTGACAGCCTCACACTGTGCATTGGAGCCTTGTGTGTTAGAGGCAAACGATCACCTACAACAAGCCCAAGGTGGATCAACCAGCTTATGCTACCTGCAAAGATTTAAAGACGTGATTTTGTCCTCCTTACCATGCAGAGAGATTTGTCATATAATTAATTATACAATTCAGTGCTGCTTCAGTATCCTCATAAACATGATCGCTTAGGCCAGATCAGCACTGGAACACTGTTTTATTGCATATAATAACTCTACACTAACACAGCTAAAAAATATGACTTTTTCCATTGGGAAGGATTTCTTTTATTGAGACCTTCCTATAAATGTCTGATTCTGTTTCTCCATGACAGTCTAAGCTCTCTATTCCAGCTGCTGTCTTCTATGGAATGTGGCTAATAATAGCACCAGTAACAGCTGGATGGTTAATTCCTTAACGACTGTTAAATGCTCTGGTATGAACAGAAGAGGGTTTCACCGTGTATTTCTCCTTGGTGTTTCTAGGTTGAATATGTTGTTCCTTGAAAGCAGCTGACTTCTGAATAGAAACAGAAATGGAAATTTTGTGGTCTATCTATCCCCTTCCCCTATTCATTCTATAATAAGGCAGGGATTACTATGAAATATTTTAATTTTAATCCTGGATGACAGAATTTTGGATACAGGGCACATATTTTACAGGTTTTTCCAATGGTAGGCTGAGCAGGATTGGACAAAGACCATCAGTGCCACACAGGACCCTGTCCTGTCGTGAGCTGCCAGGGGCATTTTCATCTGCCCCAGACAAAACAGAGTGTGGAGAGACCTTTGGTTACCAACCTGCCTGTGCCTACAGGTGCCCATGGTTATGAACCAGTGGCTTCATGCAGTGGGCTCATGCAGTTTCAAAAAGTCTGAGAGACAGGGTTTTTCTTGGCTGTTCAGGCTACCATGAGGATATTTAGAGGTTAACTGGCCATGCAGACATATTTGCAAGCATCTAAAAGTCAGGTCTGATTTCTTTATATTTAAATATAATAGGAAAATGAGGTACCATTGTCATGAAATCAGTGTTTGACAAAAAATAACGAATGGAAAAAGAAGGAAACATTATAAGAAATGCATAACTTAATATATACACATCCTCAAACCTCAATACACCATTGAATCCTGACTTGCTTCCATGGTTTGAAGATTATACCTACAGATGCCACACTAAAGCCAATTAGCTGTTTAGCCATTTGAAGTCCTGAGTTTACACTGCTCCCATCCAGCCATTCCTTTTAGTGTCTGCCTGCTTTCCCAGCAAATGCACATGTGATTCATGTTGAGAAAGAAGCAGCATAGGACACGTTTAAGCTCCGCTGTTGTGGGAATTACCCCATCTGGATGGCTGCATCTGGGCTGGGAGCTGCAGAAAGAAGAAAACCTCTTCTGTACATGTCTCTGTTATAATTTATATAAATAATTTATATTGCTCTGGCAAAAAGCATCCCTGCTGAAGCTCCAGACACACATGTGCAGTGGATTAGCAGAACATGGTGACAGTGGGACAAGCTGCAGCCAGTGATGAGAGTCCAAGAGATGAGGCCAAACCTGCTCCACGATGGGAGCTTTGCTCAGATGTTCTCCTGGTGGGTTTCAGTGGTGAGCAGCTGGGTGTTTCACAGTGTGTCCCAGCTACAGGTCTGCTCATTTTAGAGTGTCCCTGAAGGCTGGAATCCTCTGTGACAAAGCTCCTGGCAGTGATGAGTGGGAAGGGTCCGCTTGCGTTTCAGGTTTCTCCTGGAGCTTCCCTCCTCTCCGCCAGCCTTGTGATGGGCTGCTCTTGGGACAGGGAGCTCAGCTCTGGGTCCCGCAGCAGCTCTCCCAGGATGGCCAGGACTTCTTGCAGGCCCTGGCCGGTGTGGGCGCTGCACCCCCGGAGCATCCAGCGGTGCCCTGCCAGCCGCCCTCGCCGCAGCATCTCCCCCAGCTCAGAAGGAGCCAGTGCTCCTGGCACCTCCTGCTTGTTGGCCAGGAGGAGGACGGGGATGCCAGCCATGCTGGGGTGGCTCAGGGCTTCCTCCAGTGCTGCTGCTGCTTCGGACAGCCGAGCCATGTCTGTGCTGTCGATCACAAAGACGAGGGTGTTGATGTCCTCCAGGTAGTCAGGCCAGCTTGCCCGCAGGCTGTCTTGTCCACCAACATCCCAGAGGGTGAAGGATATGCCACAGGGTGTTTGCAGAGACTCCACGTTGAAGCCCACTGTCGGACAGGTCTCCACAGCCTGGCCGCTCTTCAGTTTGTAGAGAAGGGTGGATTTGCCAGCAAAGTCGAGCCCCAGCATGACAACCTGAGCATCTCTTTTTTTCCAGCCTTTGGAGATCAGCTTCCCCATCAAGATACTGCTGCAACTGTGGCAAACAAACAAAAAAAAAGCAGCCAAAAAAATAAAAAGCAAGTGTATTTCCTCGATGATGTCAGTTAATAACAGAGTGCTCTGTCCTGCCTCTCTGAAAGAGCACCTTAGGTTTGCTGAAGAAAGACACAGGCAGCTTGCTTTTGCTTCTCTCTGCAGCTAAAATTAAGTGAGAAGCATTATTTATGAGGTGTGGAGCAGAGCCAGGGAGTGATGTTGAAAACAGCAGTTTCTATACCCCAGCTCCGCTGCCGCTCAATTCCATTTTCATTCATGACCTAAACTGATTGGTGCAAAAGAGAGCTAACATTTTGCAGGAAGAGGTGGAGAGACAGCGGAGCAAGTTTCCTCCTCACCACATACATAAATAAATGAGCTGTTGTTCATTGGCTTCTCTAGGGGAAATCCACCCCTGGCAGGACAGGACAAGGAGGAACCCGGGTTTCAGACCAGGGTTCTCTGGGAATTTGCTGAATCACAGTTTGAGGGTGTGGATTTAAAGCATGATGAGCAATAAGAAAACTGACAATTTTTCTGCCAATCTTATGTTAAAAAGTACAAAACAAATCTCTGTATCATCAGCTTTTACTACCTGTTGTGTGAGTGGTAATAATAGCAATTTTTAAAAACGCACACAAGCAGGTTTTTTTAATGTCTCATTGAAATATGGCTAATCAAAATGCCTTTTCTGGCATGAAAATCCGTAAAATTCTTTACATAAAAGTATTTACTACATTTTAACTTTTGTAAGTGAAGCAAAGTCATTCCTCTGTGGCTGAGAGGGTAAAAAATACCCCTTAAAAGAAGGGGAAACTGTTTAGCAAGCCAGCACCACTTGAACTTTACATGCCAGAAGCAAAAATGTGCTGATGTAGCAGCTACCAGACTTGCCTGTGCAAGAGTGGCCAACAGAGTCCCAGTAAAGCCAGTAGTTACCTTCCTTATTGGTTGGGTTTTGCCTCTAAAAGGCTGCTCAGAGATGTGCAGAACCAAAAGCAGCCGCAGACCTCATGTCACAGCATTAACACAGAGCTGCCCTCTAGCCACCTTTATTTAAGAAGGAAATGTGATTCATCCCTGCTTCCCTGGGACCATGGAGGAACTTCCAGCACCTCTGTGGGAGATGCAGTTTCCCCAGCAACAATCTCCACATGACAGCTCCTTGTCACAAGCCAACATTGCTGGAGATGAAGTTCAGCACAGCAAGTGGAAGGAACTGTGGTCAGTGACCAGGTTACTGGTGGTCACCGAGAGGTATATTTCTTCCTCTGGGGGCAAGATGTGTCAGGTTTTCACCTTTTAAAGGAAGGAAGATGAATGAGAAACAAAACAAACAAGGAGTCCAGCCCAGAGAGCCTGCATGGGATTGCAAGGGGTCCTACAGACCATGTCTTGCAAGATATTTCTGTGATACATGTCTCTCCCATAGTTAACCCACAGAGCTGGCTGGCACCAAGAGCCTCCATGAGCTTTATGCAACTTGTGCACGTGTAAGACATGTTGTTAGAACTGTAAGAGTCATAGAACACCAGGTTGGAAGGACCTTGAGGATCATCTGGTCCAACCCAACCTTTCATGGCAAAAGTACAGCCTAAAAAAAACTCAGCACCCTGTCCAGACAAATCTTAAAAGTGTCCAATGCTGGGGAAACCTACCACTTCCCTCGGGAGATAATTCCAATGGCTGATTGTTCTCATTGTGAAAAACTGTCCTCTTGTGAACAACTGAAACTTCATGAAGAATAAATTGTACCCATGACGACTCATCTTTTCTATGTGACTCCTTGCAAAAAAGGATTTTCTATCTTCCCTGTAGTCATCCTTTAAATATTGAAACATGGTGATAGTGTCTCCACTATGCCTTCTTTTCTCAAGGCTGAACAAACCCAGTTCTCTCAGCCTCTCCTCACATGTCAGGCTTCCCAGTCCTTTGATCACCTCAGTGGTCCTTCTCCGGGCCCTCTCCAGCCCGTCCACATCTATTTTGCATAGCAGGGACCAAAACTGAACACAGTATTCCAGGTGTGGCCTGACAAGCGCTGAGTAGAGTGGGACAATGTCTTCTTTATCTCTGCCGGGGATGCCATTGGTGATGCACAGAGTCCAAATCGAGTCTCCATTTGAACTTCCACGAGTGACATTCTCCTCATCATGGCTTCCATTGCCACAGCAGCAAGTGCTCAATCCTATTGACCTGCTTGTCCACCAGCACCCTGAGGTCCCTTTCCACAGAACTACTCTCTAGCCAGGTAGATCCCAGCCTGTGCTGCACTCTTGGAATATACGTTCCCTGGTGCACGGTCTTATACTCGCCTTTGTTGAATTTCATGAGGTTCCTGCTAACCCACTCTTCCTTCCAGTCTGTCCAGGTCTTCCTGCAGGATGGCTTTCCCTTCCAAAATGTCCGCTTCCCTGCTCAGTTTGGCATCATCAGCAAATCTCATGAGGGTACACTTGATCCCATCATCCAGATCACTGTCATCAGGCTCAAGGTTAACTCAAAAGCCAAGGCTTATTTACAGCATTTGTCGCAGAGTAATCTAACAGTAGACATGCAGCATCACACATGTGATAAATCGTACAGTGTACATTCACGTGTGGTCTTCTCTAAAACCAGTCTGTAAGTACAAAAATGGCAGGAAGCTCCCTGGATGTGAATAAAAATGTGCACTGGATTTTGGCCCTTCAGGGGACTGTTTGCACACCCTAAAGTGTGAGCTGCTGCCTGACAGTTCTATTGTTGTGTGGCTCCTTATTCTGTTCACCATTTTGGGAAAATCTGCCTTCACATATTGCATTGTACTTTAAGATCAACGTGGTTGGTATTTTTAGACACACCAGTGGGTCGAGTGAACTGTTGCTTGATCTTTTCGTGTTTCTTCTGCCTTTGCTACTGCTCATCTTCTCTAAGACTTGACAGGTAGCTGTGACACAAATCTGTTTCATCTGACCAGACTTTCATAGCACTATAATTTATTTTAAGTAAACTAAAATATAGATACAGGAAGCAAGGGTGGAGATTCTACCATTCAATGAGCAACTGAGTATTTGAAATATGATGTGATGGAGTCTTGATTGCATCACTCTCTCACATGCTACAGAAGAAGGCTGCTTCTAAAAAAAAAAAAAGAACCAAGAAGAGAAGGGGAAAAAAAGAAATAAAGCCAGAAAAAGGATGCAACTAGGGCACAGTTTTATTGATGATTTCCTTCAGGTTTTCTATGGCATAGAATACAGTAATTCATGGGCAAATACAGGAAACTCTATATTCCTTTTATTGTTTTCCATGCTTATACCCTGTGTATTGAACTGCAGCCTATTTTCTTTCTTCATGCCAATTATTCCAAATACAGGGTGCAAACTGTGCCTACAGAGTCTGTTTCACCCACAGGTGTGTTACAAAAGCATAGTATTTCCACTAAATAATATATAGGAGCAAATGCAAGTCTGCTTAAGAAAGAATGAAAGAAAAGACTGTAAAAGCAGACAAGATGAGCTTCGAGTGAGTCTATTGCTGGAGCAGAAAGGCCAAATGCTAAATAGTTAAGAAATTGTGTTCAGAGACAAGGACAACCCCTATCCCAGCTATGTTTTCCGTGGACAGAACAAATGTTTTTGTCTCATGTTTCATGTCTCCAGATTCTCAGGAGCAAATGCAGTGCTTACTAATTCCATTTATAGTGTCATAGAATTTCAGTCAACAATTTATTTCTTTGCTGTTTTTTATGCATACGTTTCCCTGCTTCCTAGATAATCATCACAAAGAGCAATAATTAGAATTAGTACTATAGGACACAATCCCTCCTCCTTCCTGTGCCTTAAATATTCCAGTAACTGGGATTTTGTCCTGATCACTATATTCACTGTCATTTTGTCCAACCTATGTCACTTCTTTAGAAGGCAGCTCCAAGGAAGACAACTCTCAGCAGAGCCAAGATTAACAGGTGTAGACCTAGTCCTTACTGTGAGTGTTCCTCTAATGGCACCTACTTGGAGCAACAAGTAGATCTCAGCCCAGCAAAGGCAGAGCGTGCCTCCCCATCCAGACGTGCTTGCGTCTCTGAGAAAGGTCACCAACCAAGCCACCACTCACCCAGCCCTGCCCATGTTTCCTGCAGGATCTCCTCACTATATCATCTGTGGAAGGACCATCAATGGAGGGGATGTTCAGAGTAGCAGCTGGTGAAGAAGCCTGCTGGGACTTGAAGGAGGCCCTGGACGCAGTTGGATGTCTTGACCTGGATAGCCCACCTGTGTCCGGCTGACAGTCATCTTGAAGGGGACTTCTTCTGAGTTTGGCCTGTGAGAGCTCCTTGCAGACCTTCAGGGGATCACTGGATTTGACCTAGCAAGGACCCCAAGATAAAATCACAGAAAAGTCAAATGCGATGGTTCAAGCTTAGAGAAGTTTGACCTTTTTCTTTTCTGCATCCTGGTCCATTCCTCTTGTTTTGCCCCTCATTTCTGGCATGTCCACAGAAAACTCACCCAGTACTCTCCTGCTAACAGACTGGTTCACTTAGCATGGGCCCAGGAAGCTGCCTGTTCCATCAGGGTCAATGGGTAGCTGTGAGAGCCAGCACCTGAAGGCAAGCTGCTTCCTCCCGAGACAAATTCCCAGAGGCTTGAAAGATGGCTTAGCATAGTCTGAAGGCTACACAAGACTGCCACAGGCTTTAACACGCCCCAGAAAAGCTTGCCTGCAATGATGTCTCTTGACAAGATATGACTTGAAGTTGTACCAATACCCAAAAGTTCAGAGCGACAAGATTCACACAACAAAACACACAGCAGACGTTAAGCACCTGTCCTTCAGGTGCTCATCAAACACTCTGAGAGAGATGCTGGTACCTCCAGGGCATTCCTGGTGGGGTTGGAAATAGGACATTGTTCTCACAGCCCCACTCATCCTGTGGTCTTTGTTTTCCCCTTGCTTCTCGGGACAAACATTTGATGAAGAAAAATGCTTTTTTGGTAGCATAACTGGCAGCTGATATGCTGTCAGTTTTGCACTTATCACAGTTAACTCTTCCCAGTAGGGAATGACTCTAGCTGGAAAGCACAAAAAGTCACCTACTATGCCCTCACTGATGCCATGTCACAGTTTTCCACGGAGAAAACTTGGCCCTTGTCTATTCTCAGTCCCCACCTGTTTGGCCTGCTCAGATCCCTGTGTTGAATGATGGCAGCCCATAGGACATAAACATGCGCATGGGTGTGAGGTCCTGCTCAACACAGCTGGGCCTGGATGTTCATTTGCTCTACATGTCAGAGCACCCTGCTGTCAGTGAGACGGACAAACCGCAAGAGAAAAAATAGAGCTTGTGGTGCCTACCAGTTGCCCAAAGGTGTTTGGTCAGGAGTGTTTGGCTAAGCTCCAAGGAGAAGAGCTTACTTCTGAGCTCTGCTTTGCAGAACAACCTCACAAGTTGCCCCTCACTTCATAGGTTTTGATTTGAAAACTACAGGACATGAAATCTCACTGAAAGACCTTCCCTACACGTGGCTATGGCCTCCAGCAGCCGCCTGCTTGTGATGAGTTCTGTGGCAGGACAGAAGCTCAGCTCCTTCTGTGATTGGGCTCAGTGTTCAAGCAGGTTGAATGAACACAATGAGCTGTTCCTCACACCTGGAATTGTCAAGAGGGCCCAGGTCCAAACAGAGTCTTCATTTGAACTTCCATGAGTGACATTCTCTCAATTGTGACCAACCAGTGCTGCCTGAAACAGCATCAACCACAACATGGCATTGATTTGTCTGTCCTTAGACCTCCTGAAAAGACATGGTATGTGCTCTAGCGTATCTGGGAGAGGTCTGATGCTTTTTTTAGTGACCATTTCCCTGTTTTCAATTTCTATATGCTTCATACAGCTAGAACAGAAAGTTCTTGAGGAGATGTCAGGACCCTGAGAGCCTCAGACCAGCCCTTTTCTCAGGGAGATGCCTGATGCCTGGGGCTGGGCTGCCCCTGCATGACCCCAGCCTGCCTGCTCCCTGGCTAGGGACAGTGGGAAAGGTCCTGGCTGTCAGATCCTGCCATGACTCCCTTTTGGAAGCCTTCATTGCACTCTGACAGCGAGGTGGATGTGAAGAAATATGGCAAAGAGCAAAGATCTTTTTTTCCTCATGTTCTCATCCCTTAGCTGGAAGGTGCTGCAACAGCTGGCGAGGAAAGGAGAAGTACTTCCCTTGTTTCAATTTCTGTTTGAATTACTATGTCTTCTATATATGACTGTAGAATATTTTTCATAAATACTGTTACTCTAGTCTCTGAATTTATTATTTCCAAAGCTGGTTAGAATTTTACCAGGATGCAGATCCTCTCTGTAGACTCATGCATTCAAGTGCTGCCCAAATTGTTTTATTTTTTTCCACATAAATTGGCAATGCTCTGTATTCTTCTGTCTATGCCACTTATGTCTTAAATTCACAGATTGCTTCACAGATTTCTTCCTCCTTGACCCCTAACATCTTAGCTTTATCTCCTCAGGGCAATTGAAAACTAAGCTTCTTTGGCATCCTAACCTATCCTGACACCATCGCTCTCTTTCCTGAAACAACTCATTAGCTCTTCTTCTTACAGTTGGTCTCTATCCCAGCTAGGGTCATACACTCATCTATGCTACACGCTGCATACATGTCATTTTCACGTTAGAAACTAGTTAAAACACAGCTCTGACTATCTGGAAAGGCCTTAATGTCAATTCTACGTTATTCTTAATGTTTGTAGTGGGGAAAAAAAAGAGCAAAAAATGGGTACACTTACAAAAATATCCATGTTAGGTGTGCCAAAAAGAGGTTTTTATTCCATCCTCTCCCATATCTTACTATTTGCTCCTCCATTTGTGAAAGCCATGAAGCAAAGACTGGCTTTTTTTGCTTTTTAGTATTCCTTCGGCTGCTAGCAAGAGGAAGCCCTACAGAGACCATCTAATGATGCTTAACCATACTGACTACCTGCACTAAATATAATACAGGTAATACCTTATCTGTTACTTCTGTGGGACATAAAAGTTATACCTTGTAGGTATGTTGATGAAGTTCATCTCTCTAGATTAGTCTGGAGGAAATTCTGCTTTGCAATACACAAATCCAGTTCCCCTTAAGGCAGCCTTCCCTCATTCCAGTTCCACAGGAAGAAACAGTAATTAAAATGAAAATGTAAGCATGGACCTGAAAATGTGCTTTGCACAACTTGCCAGGCTCCAAAGCAACAGTGGAGTCTCACTCTCAGTGCTCCTCAGATTCAAGGGATGCAAGGCTTTATTTTATCATTTGTTTATAGTTTTTGTCTTAGCTTGCATGTTTAGGACATCTTATACCAATAAAGGAAATTGACTGAAAAGATACTGGAAATTATCAACAAGAATAAAAGCTACAACTGATCTTTACTACATTTCTGTCTGGTAAAACAGATGAAAGCAAGAAAACCTCACGAAATTTCAGAAATTGCATTTTATCTGTTTGGCCACAGTGTGTCAATGTTTTCCCACACATTTCTCAATGGAGGAACCATCTGCAGTGGAATCAGCTCCTGCCAAACAGATGTCAGAGTGCCAGCTTTGATTTAGGGCAGGACTTAGAGCCCTTGGGCCTTTAACACCCTTCTGCAGCTGGATCACTTTGAATGAGATTTTGCTGAACAACAGCTACATATATTTTTTGTGTATCCACAGGAAGATGATGGTAAGGACAGCAGAACAGAGATGGAATAAGATGCCAGTTCCATGCAGGTCACATTTAGCTCCAGATTGTTTTCACATCAGATTTAGCTGGCATCATATCCTAGGATTCTGCACTTGGAGTGAACCAGTTCACAGACTGATGGAAAAAAACAATGCTTAGTGAAACACTTAGAAACACTTCAAAGAATTTTCTTCCTTTAATATCCTTTAACAGGTCACTGATGGTTGCCACCATGATTCTTCACTGTTTGTGGTCACTTACAGAGCTGCAGGTGCAAAACAGACCTTTTAATCTACAACTGACAACATTATAAATCCCCCTAAACTTGGATTTATCTATGACTTATGCACACCTTTGTGATCTTTGGTTTTGGCAATGCATCCTTAGGAATGAAACTGCAGATTCAGGTTGCGTTAGGGTTTGAAGTGTAACTCCATGCCATGCTATCGTCCATTGAGAATCTCCAGTGTTCTCAGTCTGGTCACTAGAGAAAAGCACTTCATAGTCACCTGCTACAGTTATCAAAAGAGATGTAAGCTGAGACTGTCAGTGTAAGAGAGAGGGTTCAGCATCTGAGCTAACCCACCAAAGTCAGCAACACACATTATCTGTACACTGTCTTAGGCAACAATTCTTTTTGTTCTACAAAACTTGTCTCTGAATAGCATTGCTTTGCCTGGTTGGCCTATTTAATTTAATGCTTTCATAACATTTCCAGTCGGTCATAACTTTCCCAAGATGGATATCAGGTTTCATAACCCTTTTCCTTCTAGAAAAAAAAAAAAGTTAGAGGAGGGTTACTTTTTGTTATTGCTGGCTTTTACAAAAAGCCACACTGAAAGAAAAAGAACTGAAACCAGTTATTTGCGAGATTATAAAATTACTTTTGCTCCACACAGAGCACTTTTTTTAGCTGCTTCAACTGCTTGTAAAGGTCAGACACAGTATAAACTGCCTGCAACCACTGTTTAGGGACTTATTGCACTCTAAAATTAGGGTGACAATTTATTAGTGATAACTAATAAAAGGAACACAAAGTTATGTGAATAAAAAAAAGACTGAGTGGGGGTTTGTGTTCTGGTACTTGTTATAACAACTGGGTTTCTGCATATGGTAACTAAGCAGGGCTGTCCTACAAAACTAGGTAAGATCACAGCTCTGTTTACGCAGCTCCACATTTGCACCATTTCTAGCAATGCAGGAAAGGCCGTAGTTCTTGACAGACAATTCCTTAGCAAAGCCACAAACACAAGCAGAAAACAACTGTTGTGTATGTTCCCTTTCTGGCTCTCTGGGGCTTCCCATGGAGGCTCTGATGACACTTGTCCATGTATCTTATTTCTGCCTTCTCTTTGTGTTGCTCCAGAATTTGCCCAGCCTATTCAGCAGTACCTCCCTGGTGCCAGCAGCACAGTAAGCAGCAACTTGGCTGGAAAAATCTCTTTTTACCCCAGACCTACCACTGTGCTTTCCTCGCCTCGTATTCCAGGGCAGAATTTCTTTCAGCATCACTGATTCCCTCTCACAGCAACCCATCCAGACTTGATTCCTGGGTTACTGAAATTGATTTTTCTGTTCCCTTTTTTTTTTAATTACAACTTTTTTTAATAGTTTTCTCCTAAATATACGATGCCCAAAAAGAGATTGATATGTCCAGGGGGCTCAACACTAGTGCTTTTTGTTTCAGATCAATCAGCCCCCCACTCGCTGCAGCCTCCAGCTGCCTTCTGACCCTGCCCACTGTTGGGAAAAAGAAGTAAATTTTGAGAAAAGCGGAAGCCATTTCCTGGTAACAACTTTGTGTTAACAAAAGATGTCTCTTGGGAAGGCTGGTGTCCAGTCTTCCCTTTCCTGGATCGTCCCACATAGCTCTGTCTCCTTGATCTGCAGGTGTTGAAACAGAACAGTAAAGTGTCAGGCTCGTGTCAATGTAAGGTATAGGAGATGTTTATATAGTGTTATATTAACACATCTGAATGAGAAGTTGCTGTGTGACTGTGTTAGAAGACCCTTAGCCCTGTCTCTAGGATCCAGCTGGTCTCAGGCATTACAGGCACCAGCCTTAGGCATAACCAGCACAGATCCTGCCAAAGCTCTGCTGGGTTCTGTCGGCCTGTGGCCAGGGTAGGAAGCCTGGGATGGACGCAGCCCCACCTCGCTTTTCCCTCGGCTTCGCACTAGCGAGGATGTAGGGGCAGACAGGTGCCATCAGTTTGGGAAGGGCATAGAGGTGCTGGAGCAGGTCCAGAGCAGGCAACGGAGCTGGTGAAGAGTCTGGAGCACGGGTCCGATGAGGAGCTGCTGAGGGATGTTCAGCTGCTAGGGGTGTTCAGCCTGGAGCAGAGGAGGCTTGGGAGGACCTTATCACTTCCTACAACCACCTGAAAGGAGGTTGTAGTTAGGTGGGGGTCGGCCTCTTCTCCCAAGTAATAAGTGGCAGGTTGAGAGGAAATGGCTTCAAGGTGTGTCGGGGGAGGTTTAGATTGGGTATTAGGAGGAACTTCTCCTCAGACAGGCTGATTAGACATTGGAATGGCGGTGGAGCTACCGCCCCCGCAGGTGTTTAAGGATGTAGCGCTTAGTGCCATGATCTAGTTGACAAGGTGGTGCTCGGTCACAGGTCGGACCCGCTGATCCCAGCGCCCTTTTCCACCCCAATCGACCCTGCCATCTCGTGATGCGCCCCCGCTGAGGGGGGCGGTGTCACGTGCCCCCACACCCGCAGCGCCCAATAGGGAGGGCGGACCCGGCCACGTGACGAAGCGCGCGCGAACGGTCAAGAGGGAGGGCGGGGGGAGGCCCCCCCACCGCTCCCGGCGAGTCACGTGATGCGGCGCCGCTCTGCCCCCCCAACCCCCTTCCCCCGCCGTCACTGTGCGGGCGCTCGCCGGCGGCCGCGCGCGGCCCCGACGCCGTGAGGCGGCCAGGGGCTGCGGCTGCGGCGGCGCCGGGCGGGACGCGGGGCAGCGCCGCGCCGAGGGGCCGCGGGCAGCCCGCGGGAGCCCGCCGGACCTGCCGCGGGTCACTCGGTGAGAGCAGCGGCAGCGCGGCCGAGGCGTCACGGCGGCGAGGGGCCGCGTGGTGCGGTTGGCGGTGCCCGTGCGGAGCGGAGAGAGGAGAGGGAGAGGGAGAGGGTCCTTCCCGCCTCAGCAGCGCTGCGGTGGGCACCCTCACTCGCGTTCTGTCGCGCCGCCTGCGAGTTCCTCCCCACAGCTCCCTGGGAGCCTCTTCCTGTGTGTCCTTAACGCGGTTCGCGCTTAATGCATTGTGTTCTTACAGCCTTCTGGTGGTTTGTTTGTTTATTCATTTTTATTTTTCTGTTTCGTGATGCCTCGGTTCATCCTTCGCTTTCGTCGCCGGCTTCCTGAAGGCTGAGATATCCGGCTTGTTGGGAAAACACAAACGCAAAGGAAAAACTCAGTGCTTTTTGTTTCTCCTCACCGGGCTTTATATGAACTGCTAAAGCGTTTCTTCAGGTTTTTAGCGCGGTTCCTCCAAATTAAAGGAATATTTTTTTTTTAAGGAGATTGTAGAGTTCTAATTTAGAAAACTCTTCTCCTAAATTAAATATTGAAGGAATACTTGCCTTTTTTTTTTAAAAAAAAAAAAAAAAGCAGCTCTCAGAGTTCTAATTTAGAAAGTCCCAATGACCCCTTTCAGAAAGCGTGTTGTCCTCTGTTAACGAAAAGTAAAATGGGCTTTAATCGTTCCGACACACTTTGGGATTACTAGAAGAAGGTACTAAACATCATAAATGGAAATGTGTTTGAAGCACAGAGTTTTTTAGGAAAAACTTGAGAAGATGTTTGAAAGATGTATTCGTTCTTTAGAGCCTTAATATGATTGTTTACCTTTGAATGCTTATCTCTGTATGCATCAGATTGAAATATAGGTATTACTTTAAAAGATGTCCTCAGTAAATAGCTTCGATAAATTACAGTAACGGCTCAGCATAAAAAAGAAAAAGCATGTTGTGGTTGTAATTACAGTTTTATTGTGGTGGGTGGATGCCTGAAGTACTATTAAGGGTTGTTTCCTCTGGGCAAAACAGTCACGTTTAATTTTTGCTTGCTTGTATTTCGCTCAGCTGGTTGCTCAAAGCAGGTCTGATTGTCAGTCACTTTTTTCCTTCCTTGTATTGCTCATAAAAGGCATCCGAAAATAAATTGTGCAGAGGTTCGAACCCATGGGTTTTGCCATAGAAATCATGCTTTATGTAAGGTCCAAGGAAAGTAAGTTAAGGCATGTGATTTCAGGGAGTGCAGTATCTTTTTGCTGGCGGGGGGAGAGCCTCAGTAACATCATTTGGTTCACACATCTGATTAATGTTAATAGCATGTATTGTTTCCATGTTCTTTCTCAGTGCTGAAATATGAGATTCAAAACAGCAAACAGACTGGAAAAAAACATTGGGAAGATTAGTGTTATGTCTAGGATTTAATTCTCCCTCAGTTGAGGTGTACTTCAAATTAAAAAAGGATTAAGTGTGCCAGTCACTTTGTGTTGTTCTAAAGCCAGATATCCAAGCTTTTGTGTTCTCACTGCTGTCCATAATTCCCATAGACAATTAGGAGAAACGAAGGCCTGAGCCTGCAGTTTCCCTTTGTGCAGGAGTAGGTCTGCCCAGCTGGAATAAACTGCAACACTGGAGCCTGAGGAAAGAGTGAAACAAACAAATGTGCAATTATGTTCAAACAGTCAAAAGGGGATAATCTTTGAGGAGTTAACTATTGTTTTTTTTTGTGATGACAATTAGTACTGTGTGCCCGGTAGGATGTTGATTTAGGCTATTGTTCTCTCCAGCATTGCTTTATTTAGCTGAACTATAAACTCTGTAGAACTTTATCTAAAATCATTTTAACAGAACATTTTGTAAACGCTGCCATTTTGGAGGTCTTTTCAAGTCAGGGATCCATGTTTGCCTGCATGCATCACTCAGAGTCAGCTTGCAGGCTTTTTATTTAGAAATCAAATTAGTGAGATGTTAAATGTGTAGGCAGCAGTTGAGTACAGAATTTTTGAGGGGCTTATGTCTCTGAAAGCATGTGACTTGTTTTAATTGTGAGCAGATGTAGATGTCTTTCCCCTAATGCTGGTGACTACTCCGAGGTTAGTTTCTTTTTTATCACAATATGTGGCCAGTTCAGTTTCTCTCTTTATAAGTCATCCTTTTTTGCTTATTTTTAGCCTTGCTGAAGTTCAAGCAGTCCTCTCTGTTTCTGTTCCTGCTTGGATACCGGGGTTGTTGGATCCTTTTAGAGATGTCAGAGCCGTGAGAAGAGGTGCTGTTGATGTAAACTCCCTCTGCTGGTTAATTCTGCAGCAGAAATGAAGCTTTGTGGTGTACGATTGTTTACCACTGCATCACGCAGCAGAAATTAACAGTTGAGAAGTGACATACAGTGTTTCTAAAAGCAACTAGAGCACTCAGTTTAAGCTCGGGAGTTTTATGCCTATAAGGCTTTTAATTGCAATCAGCCTAAAAGCTGTGTGTCGATAAGTGACAGGTACTCCTTAGAACCACTGCTGCCTTGTTGCATGCAGAATCTAAGCAGTAGCTTGAGACCTAATATATTGAGACAGCTATTAGCATGCAGGTTAAAATCGTTGCTTGGGTTCCATCTGGTACATTTGCCACTACACTGCACTTAAAAATTTCTCAGTTAAGGTGCAGTCTTTGCACAGTGTGTGCAGGCCCAGGTGGTTATCAGGAAAAGTAAACAACTGTAGGTCTCTTTGACGCACTGCAGGAAGGGTGAGTGAAGGACGCTGGGTGTCTTTATTCTGCTGCTTGGACTGACAGGACTCCTGGATCATCAGCCTTTTGTAGCAAGGATTTGCCCAGAAGGAACTCTGGACATGCCTGTGTCTGCCCCCTCTGCTCCCTTCCAGATTCAGGCAAATGTTGAGGATGAAGTTTGAGTGTGATTGGTGTGAGAGGTCAATCACAGTATCGGAGAGTGTCTATTATTTTAGAAAGTATGTCTTAGAGGGTGCTACAATCAGTTTGGTTTCAGTTTTGATAACACTGAGTTGCTTGCCTGACATCTCTATTTACAATCCTTTATTTAAAAAATAGATTCCCCAAATACTTTTCTCTCACTGTAGACTTTTTTTTCCCCCCTTTCCTGTGTCCCCCAGAACTTTTATTGAAAAATGAGAAATTGGCTAAGGTTGTAGAGGAATGCATCTTTAGGGAGGAAAAGGTGGTGCTTATGCCTCGGTTAGGCAATTACTTTCTGTGGAAAATAAGTAGCTGAATTAACTTTCTATGCACAGTTAAAGTGAAGAAACAGTAGTCCGTGTGTAAGCCCCAGAACTCTCAAGTTTGTTATTTCAGTTGTTTAGACATAAGCATAAAGAAAAGTAGCTTCATTTGCTACTGTAGAAATGTTGCAACTGAGTGATGATAGGTATGCCAGCAAATGGTGAAATCTAAGGACAATAGTTAATATCTCAAGAGGAGGTGAAAGGGGTGTGTCTTTGGGGAGAAACAATATGTATTACAGTAAAGGTGAGAGAGGTTTTTTTGTTGTTTGGTTGGTTTAAGGATTTTTGTGACTCTTCATTGGTTGCTAAACCTGGATAGGCTTTAGGATTGAGATTTATTAAAGAAACTAGCCTGCCAGTGGCAGATAACTTATCACTGAAAACTTTCTTGGGGAAATCCTTAAATAACTTTTTAGGATTGTAGGAACAGTTGAAATCGAACAATTGAAACAGCTGAAGATTACAGCATTGTTTTAGATAAAGCAGTGTTAACACCTGTTAAGCATTGTAAGGTCCTTCATCTGTGGATGGAGTTCATTGCTCATGTCTTCAACCTGGAAAGGCTTGTGTGCTTGAAAGCTTTTATCTGCCAGTATTAGTTTGTCAGACAAGATATCAGGTTGAGCTTTGAGGTATGGGAAATGCAGTGTAACTTGCTAAGGTTTTGGAAGTGCTTGGAAAGGTTTTGCCAAAGAAGTGGTTAACTGAGTCATGCAGAGGGGAAAAGAAGCCAAGTGGATTAAAGACCTAGTGCAAAGATCAGGAAGGGCAGCACATTTTAAACCAGTTCCCTTTAGAGTAGAATAGGTTCTCAGAGTGCTATATAAAACTTGTTAATTTGCTAGGACATTCTCTATCAAAATAACATTTTGTCTTCATGTCTTAAATTCATAGGGCATGTTCAAAATAACTTCAGAGAAGAAAATATTTTTCTTAATATCCACTTTATGACACATTTGTGCATTGTCAGTTGTATTTATATGAGGCAAATTAAATAGGTAAAGTCAGAAGGGACAGTTACTTGGTCTGCTCAAAACAAGTCATTGCTGTTTCCTTATGATTGATTGATGGTGTCATATGTTAAAAGATTTGCCAAAGTGAGGTAACAAATCTTAGCAGCTAACTAACCTGTGTTTGTAACTGGACTAGAAATTAAGAAGGCTTAAAAGCATTCAAATCTGTTTAGCTGTGTAGAATGTGCTGTGGTCTCGGCATCAGGTAGACTTTCAACAAATAAATTTGCCATCTGGAGGTTTCAGGTGTTTTCAAGACCTGCATCAAATGTGAAATGTAGAGTGAAGTTGGGCTCTAAGTGAGAGAAGTGCCTGTAGAGCAGTGGTGGGTTTGTTGGATCCAGGCTATGAAATTTGATCAGGAAGCAACCCTGCCTGGGTTTTGTTTGTGTTGGGGTTTTTTTGTGGACATACTTCCGCGGTGACCTTAGTGTTTCTCAAACTTTTAAAAAAAAGTAATAATAAAAACAATAAACTCCTTTCTTCCAAGAGACGTCCTGTTATTTCTGGAATGACTGCTGGTGTTATATAGTTTTCTGAAGCCAACTCTTGATTGTCAGCACAGTTTTGAGAACCAAGTATCAGAAGCAAAGGGAAAGAAGCTCTCTAGGTGTTCTCGCTGTTGTCCATTTCTGATACCCAGGCATTATGAAGAAGTAACCTGAACAGAGCAAAGAATAGAGGGATTGGGTTGCACTGGAGCAAACAAATGAACTAAATTAACTAAATGTTAATGAGAGCATGCCATCTAGATAGAGACTGCATTTCTTACCTGTTGCATGATTCTCTAGCTCTTTGGTTTTTACTGTTTTATTATGTGTCTTGTCACTGGCATTCTGTGGAATTCTCCACCTGGCGCTCTCCTGATTCACAAGACTTGCTGATACCCCTGAGCGTGGATCATAGGTTGTGTCAGAATCCCTTCAGGGTATGAGCCATGTTAGAGTTGTCATGTGCAGGATTGAATGCCTGGGTGAGCTCTCTGTTAGTGCTGACGGTCAGCTTTGCTCTTGAGCTGCTGCAATTGTCCTGAGGAAACTGGGAAGAGGGAGCATTATAGAAGGATGGATTATATACATCCGTGTTCATTGGAAAATGATCTCTATACCCAGACCTCTATACCAATGTTTCCAGCTTTTAGTGAGATCCAGCATGTTTCTAAAAAAGAGATTATGACAGTTTTACTTACTTTTCTCTGATATATATCACTGCATAGTTGCCCAGACTCATGAGTTTGCCTCATGCTTTCCTGCTCTGACAAATATTTTTTGACCATAATAAGAGCTTTTGATTGCACAAGAGATGGCAGATTTAGGTCATGTGCACAACAGCTCCAGCCTCATTTTTATTTGCAGGTTTCACATATATGTCATTTGCTTGCTTACATGGCATATATAAGTTGTAGGGATATAAAAAATTTCATAACTGAAAATTTTATAAATTTGAATTCCAACTGAAATCACCTCTGAAAATTCCCTCAGAATTCCACTCGGCCACCAGTGGATATTTGCTAGATAACAAATTTTTTAATAAGTTTGCTTGTATAACAGCAGATGTTCAGTTATATTGAATACAGTTTACTTCAATAATCTGCTAAGAAAAGGTCTGTTCTTCCAGTGACCTACTAGTGACTTGCTATTTGTTCACCTAAATACATGGAAATATGTATTTCATACAGAACAGCGTGTTTACTCTTAGAACCACCTGTCTTTTTTTCCATATAAAGGAATTTACCTTATTGCCTGTTGATAAAAGTGCAAAATATGCTTTTTTAATGGGCTTTTTTTTTTTTTTTTTGTTATAGCAATGTCATCCTGCTCATAGGACCCTCATGACACACAGCAGCATCATGGTGGATGTAGGCAAGTGGCCAATATTTACCTTACTGTCACCTCAAGAAATAGCATCCATTCGGAAGGCGTGTGTGTTTGGAACATCGGCCAATGAAGCTATTTACATAACGCACAATGATGAGGTGAGGCTGCAGTCAGGTGGGAAATGCACTCTACAACTACTTGTTTTCAGAGTCCACTGAATATTTGTAAGTGAACAGCTTCTCAAAAGCATAGTGTGAAATTTTGCGTTTTTCAAAACGTGCTGGATGTAATGTTGAATAGTACGGTTCCTGCAAATAAAAAGCCTAACTTCCAGGCCTGCATGAATCTGAATAATTCAGATTCATCACTTAACTTCCAAAGTGTCCTAATGCTGACTCCTGTAGTTGTTAACTTTCATGTGGGACATTTCTGGCCCCTGACGGTCTGTGGTAAAACTGTCCCCAGTTTATGAAGACCTGTGCATACCTGAGCTTAAATTGTTAGAAGTGAATATTCCTTTTTTTTTCAGGTATTTGTTTTTGGACTGAATTGCAGTAATTGTCTGGGAACTGGAGATAATCAGAGCACAATAGTACCAAAGAAATTAGAAGCCTTATGTGGAAAGAAGATCTCCAGTCTCAGTTATGGAAGTGGACCCCATGTTGTACTTTGTACTGAAGGTAGAAAATTAACCTTGAGTATAGAAACAAAAGTGAATGATTTTAAGTTTCCACTGGCGTTTAACAGGAATGGATTAAGGTGTAATTGTATTAACTTGTTAACTGGGTAATGTACACTAAGGGGCTCTGATGAGTCTTAAGTAGATCTAAGTGGATTTTGTAATAGGTTGCACTTGTAGCATTTCACTCTGTCATTTATGATATACTCTGTTTTACATATGCACTTTCATTTCCACAATAAATCTAGAGGTTATACTGTGATATATATATATATAAAAGGAAGTATATAATTTTTTTAGTATACAGATGATTCTTGTAATAATTTCACTATTTGTTAACATCCATTCACTTTCATCTTGGTGTTTGCTGATATCTTAGAACTTTGTATTAATTTCCTTGGAATTTTTTTGGTGGTTTTCATCACAAATATTTTTGCAGATGGTGAAGTGTATGCTTGGGGACATAATGGTTACAGTCAGCTTGGAAATGGCACAACCAATCAGGGCATTACTCCTGTTCAAGTTTGCACAAATCTGTTAATAAAGAAAGTGGTGGAAGTAGCTTGTGGCTCTCATCATTCCATGGCGCTGTCGTTGGATGGGGACGTAAGTTGAAATCTGTTCAAATCTCTTAATTTCCTTCTTGAAGTGAATAGTGTAGGTGACTTTACGGTTTGAACTTGTCTGTACAGGGTAGTTACAAACATTACCTTTTCTCCTGCTGCCTCAAACTGGGGTGTCCTGTTCTTCAGAGCAGACTTAAAAAAAACCTAAAAAAACCTCCAAAAAACCCTAAACAAACCCAAAACGAAAAACAAAACAAAAAACCACAAACTACCAAACCCCAACCACAAAAACAAGGGAATAAAAGCTTAGTAAACCTTATGTCTTTTGTCTGCTGTATGTCTCACAGGGTGAGACCGGAAAGCTGTGCCACTTATGGGTGAAAGAATGGTTCGTAAGGTGAAAAATGTAATTTATTTGCTTGCAGTTCTGTTAGTTAAGGGGTAAATTGAGTTGTTTGTATTTACTGGTTAGCATTTAGTTGGTTTCTTGCAGTATTCGTGATTTGTAGACTGGTACTGCAAAAGAATGTTGCTCTGCACACCTCAGAGTACCTTTGTGTGTGGCTAATGGAAGAGCACTTGGTTTATATCCAAGTCTGCTTTATGCTGTTCGTTTACGTGGCTTAAGGCTCTGTGTCATGGGAAACATGCTGAGTTTCCAGTAAGTCATATTTGACCAATGTGGGTTGCATGTTACTGCACAGAGGAAAATCTGGTTTCAGCTCTGCATTAACAAAAGAGGAGTTCTAATTTTAAAACCTTCTAACAGTGAAAATGGAAACTACAGTTCTTTTCATTATGGTAATCTGAGCGTGTCTGTGTTATGGTTCAGTATGGAATGATAGTGCAACAGTAATACAAGTATTTTAAGGGTAGGAAAGAGAGATTGAATTAATTTAAGTGGTCTTTGTTTTATCTGAAAGAAGAGCCTAGCTTGGGAAAGATTTTGTGCTGTCATGTTTGATCTGGTTAAACTATAAAATTTGGTGAGTATGGAGGAAGGGGAACGTGTTCATGTGTAAGTTATACTAGTGATGCCAGCTGCTGTGTGGTAGCTGCCTGTGATGGCCATACTGTCTCTTTTAATAGATGTAAAATGCTGGAAATCTGTGGAAGTGGGGAAGTTTCTTTGTGTTTACTGTGGAGTTGATATTTCCAGCTTGCTTGCCATCGTGATTAGTTAATGTGTTCTAAATCCATCCCTAGCATGCCTTGCAGTAACTTGGTCTGTTTGTGCTCTATTTTATCTGTACCAGAATTGATTACACTGAAAGCAGCAAAATGTGTTAAGCGGATTTATTTGCAGAAAGATTTGTCTGCAAAAAAACCCTGTGACTTGATATTATCTGAAGCCTCAGAGAGACATTGAAGTTGAAAGTATTTGTGGAAATACTTGACATAATTGGTTAGGACAGTTAGTGCCATTTTAATGCAGTGCAAATTTAGAAGAATATTTTAATGATAGAACTAAAGGAGTGCAGACATTCATGCTTCTGAGAGGGGAAACTGATTAGTTCTTTGGCATTTTGATCTATGTTCTGAGATTCTCTACCTCAGTATTTTCTGTTATTTAAGTTGACATCTTTTACAGAGCATCTTCAAATACTCAGTAGGAATCAAAGATCCAGCAATTAGAAGTAACAAAAAGCAAAGGACTAATGCTTTCTTTAGTTCATATTACACATGGTAAATGAGTTGGGTTGGTGGGTGGGTTTTTTCTTCTTGTCTTTGGTGGGTTGGGGTTTATTTGGTGGCAATGGAGGTGTTTGTTTTTATTTACTGACTTTTGGTTTGGTGTTGCAGTAAACAGGTAGCTTCTGGCACTAAGGGATGTGCCAACTTCTCACTGGGGTACCTGTCAGTGTGCTTGTACTGGCTAGCATGTCTGTGGCTAGATGTTTCCAACAAGGTGGACTTTTGAACTGGGTGAAGCACGAGAGAATGAACTATCAAAAACTGTTTTGTGCCAAGCTGTGGGTGTGTATGCATGTAATAAAAACTGAAGGCAGTTTTGTACTGGAGTATAAAGCTATACTTTTTTTTTTATAGCAAACTGCTTTCCTGTATTCTTGACTTGCAGATGAAAGGAAACTATTTTTGTTTGTGTTAGTATTAGTTTGCCACTGGAAACTTTAAACTGACAGAGATAGTGCTTTTTTGTTAATGCCATTGTGTACAAGCATGTAGCTACTGTGAAACATGGGCTGACAAATTCGTCTTCTTTCACAGCTCTTGAAAGGTGTAGAAAAGGTATACTAAATGTCCAGCAATAACCTGGTTTAGAGTTCTGTGAAGAAAATTAAACTCCAAATTGGGGAGTTCAGCTTGTCTGGGAAACAAATGACATTCCTTTTTCCAGTATCATGAAATTATGAAGACAATCACTGTGGTTTTTGTCTCACAGTCTGAGTAATATTTAATATGGAGATATGTTCTGTTTGGTTTTTGTTGTACTTGGATGCTCTGATTGTGTAGCAAGAAGCTGAAAAAAGTGCTATGTTCATATTTGCTAGATCAGTTTTATTGCTGTTTATAACTTTCAGCTGTTGAAAATTAACTTTAAGCATTTCAGCTTATTAAATAGGATAGTTTACCCAATCTTATGTTGACTCCAGGAAGATTATCATCTATTGCTATCATTAGTATTACTGAGGCTTAAACTGTGTGGTTTTGTTTGGTTGTTTTTTTGGACAGCTGTATGCTTGGGGCTATAACAACTGTGGTCAAGTTGGATCTGGATCTACGGCAAACCAGCCAACTCCTCGCCGAGTTTCAAACTGTTTGCAGGGTAAAATTGTAGTTGGCATCGCTTGTGGTCAGACCTCCTCCATGGCTGTAGTAAACAATGGTGAGGTAAGCACTGCTGCTGTGTTCTCACATTCTCTGTTACCTGAACTTGTCAAGTTAGTGTCTGACTATGGAGGAATGCTGACATCGAGTGCTCAAATTAGAGTTGTATTGGCAGAGTTGGACTGATAATTTCTGTGAGACCAGTTTAAGGAAAATGCTGGAATTAACTGGAGATGCTGTCTTTAAACATTACTTCTTATGGCAAAAACTGTAGTGGAACACAGTTCTTACTAAGTCTGCAACAGCAAGAATTTGAGCAGTTGCATTAAGCATGTCTGTCTTCATACTTCAAATGATTATGTAACATAAATAATGTTAAATTGTTACGTTAATTTCAGTTTGTTTTTTTTAAAGTGTGCACAATTAAACAGTTAATTTTTCTGCAACAGTATGCTGACTGATTGTGGGTTTTAAACACATTGCTTAGTTGCCAGCAGCAAAACTAGACTTTTGAACATTGCCCTAGTATTGTGCAACTCTTTGATTTCAGATGAGTTTATGGTGCTGTCTTGCTTCTAGGTATGAACCTCAATTTTACTACACATCACCAAACCGAGCGTAGCATCTCTCGGGCCATGTAAGGACTGTAAAAGTCCCTGAGGTTGAGATGAGTTTTTTCATTGCACATAATTTGTCATGATTTGTCCACTAAAGGAAAAGTTAAACTGGTGACTTCAGTTTAAACTAATCAGCTGATCAGGATAACTAAATTCACATTCTCTTAAGAAAAAAAAGTAATAAGGAGAAAGGATGGTGTAAAAGTTAACTAAAGTGCTGATGCTGTGGGAGAGATTTTGAAGTAAGTTTATTCCAAAATTCCTAGTACTTGAAAGGCATGTACTTTAGACAGCTTCTTTAAAAGGTAAATACAGAGTTGAAAAGTTGAATGCATTCAGTCATTGCAGTATATTTAACATCTTACAGCCTTCTCTATATTGCTCTTGAAATAGCATACGGTTTTTTAATAAGAAGTACTTAGCTTGTGCTTGATACTACGTCTTAAATCTTCTGTACTCCTGGAGAAGAGTGGCTGAATTTTGTTTTCCTTTTGCCATCAGGTTTATGGCTGGGGTTACAATGGCAATGGCCAGCTGGGGCTGGGAAACAACGGCAATCAACTCACACCCTGCAGAGTGGCAGCGCTGCACAGTGTGTGCGTGCTCCAGGTATGTCTAACGTGGACATGGAAATGCATTCCTGCTGCTAGCTTGCGCTGAAACCATATCTTTGGAATATTATACCTGCCTCTAGACTTTGCAGTTCAAATAGTGAGGTTTTTTTAGGTCTTAGGAATTATATTTTGCTTATAAAAAGTGCAAGTAAGCTGTAAAATTTGCTGTTGTAAATGCCTGGAAAGATTTAAAGTTAGCTAGTGTAACCATGAGTAAATTATTCAAGGGATACAAATTGCATCTTTGTTACAAAGCTGAGTGATGCACCTAGGTAAAGACAAGAAGGGTAACAAAATGTTCAAATTGGGTTCTATGTCAGTATTCTAATTAGTCGTTCAAAAGTGTGGGGAGAAGGAAGGTTAGAGTCATGAGTGTGGGTTTGATTGTTTGGTGGTTGGGTTTAGTTTGGTTTGGTTGGATTTCTCGGGTTTTTAGTAAGGTTCTGTGGAGTTGCCTGTGATATTTTGGGTTGAAGGATTGTTGGCTGTTGAACTGCAGCTCTCATCGTTAGAGTATTCATGCTGTACAATATTCAAAATATGCATCACTGAAAGTATTTCAGAGTATTGCAAGATGTGATGAAGTTCTGTTCCTTGTGTGAAGAGTCAGCAACTGAAAGTAACTAGCGACCAAGAAGACTTTGCCAGAGTACAGTAAATTATTTGGGGTTAATCAATCAAATTAATGAAGTTGGGACTTTTCCAGTGCCTACAGCTAACACACTTGGTGTTAGCTTTAAGTACTGAGAAGTAACACTGTGTAGCACTGAGTGAAGAGTGCCTGAGATACTTTTAACGTGGCCTGAAGTAATGGGCGCGATAATTTTTTGTTTGTCATCTGTTTTGTTTGGTAGTAACGCTTCTACATTTACTTACAGATTGCCTGTGGCTATGCGCACACACTAGCACTAACAGATGAGGGTTTGCTCTATGCCTGGGGAGCTAACACTTACGGGCAGCTGGGAACTGGCAATAAAAGTAACCAGCTAAGCCCGGTGCAGATCATGATGGAAAAAGAAAGGTAATCTTGCTGAAGCTGTTTCTGGATTGATAAGTCTGAGCATGTTATGCGGTCTCTAGTACTGGAAGCACGCACGTGAAGGACTTGGTAGATTGTTTTTCTATTGTTAATGTTAAAAGCATAGGAAAGGACGATAACTTAATGTTTGTAATAGACTGAGTGCTTTTTTCTGTCTCTAATGATCCCTGAATGTAAGCATACTTTGTATCTTGATACTGAAAGATAATGAATGACTGTTAGGGTGTTCTATATATAGTTCCTTTGGTTAAAAATCTGGAGCTATGAACTCAATAAGCCAAGATGTTAACTTGTATTGAGGCTTACATTAAAAAAAAATGAATGAGGGGGGAAGGAAGCAGCACCTTTGTAAGAAATGACATCTGAGGAAAAACAATTTTTGAAAAGCTGGCGGTAACCACCCATGAAAACACAACTCAGTTTGCAAGGTTGCTTGAGCTAAGGACAGTTAATACTACTTTTGATCAGTAGTACCAGTTAGTAGTTTATAGCTTTTTAGTGTCCTAGATTCATAAAAGAATGAGACTAACCCTGGTCAACCCTCTTTCAGCACTCTTTTTATGCTCATGATTGGGATAACTCTTTTGCTGTTCACCTGCAAACGTGGACCTCAGTCCCATTCTCTTGAGTCCTTGTGTATACCTATAGATTAATGTTCCTTGGCTTGCAAACATATCTAGTCTATAAATCTCTTGACTTGTAATCTCAAAACAATTCTGATTGATTTTTCTCCTCCATTTCTGAACTGTCTTTCAGGGAATTCATTCCTGTTTTATGCTGTTTCTCCCACTTAACGTAAAGTTAAAAGGTACACAGTACTGGGAGTGTTTAAGAGCTCAAAAATGGGGGGGGAAGAGGAAAGGAACCAACACAATAGAAGCCACTATTGTGGTCAGGCTTTTTTTTCTGTGAAAGAACTGACAATAATGAAACAAAATGAAATATTCTTTAAAAAAACAGTGGGAGAGAAATGCATATGTTTGCAGATAGATCAACTTTGTTCTCTTGGCGATTTATTTCATGAGTGAACTAAGGAGAACTGTTGCATTTAGTATTGTATGTGAACTCAGGCATGGGATTACAGTAAAACTGGCATGTGTTCAATGACTGAAGGAGGGAGAAAATACCATAGAACTTCTGCTTGGAATCTGAGGGAGAGAGAAGTCACTTGAACTTACTCATCCTGCTTGACTTGGCTCCCTCGGAAACAGTGCTATAAGCGGATGAGCTGTCATTTCCCATGAAGCGTGTTACTGCTGCTTCCCCTGATCTTTTTATTTATGTAACCCTTTTGTCTCTTATATCTAATGTTGGTGACAGTTCCTCAGTAAGTGGCATTTGGTGCTGTCCTGAAGAATATTGCACATATAGCTTGTAAGGAACTTTTAGACTTCATTTTTTTTATTTGCTTGGAAGGAACAGCTGTGAAGGTCAGCTTCCTGAATTTTGATGTTAAGTGTAAGCTTAACGTGTTACCTTGTACATGTACTGTAACTAAACTGTATGTGTACCATAAATGTGTTATAATAGTGCATGTTCTGCTATACTTCTAAAGTGTAGTACAGTTACTCTAAAAAGAAGAATCTGTTCTGCTAAGGAAAGAAAGTTTGGGGAAGGAAGTAGTTTAGGTAGATAGCTATGATGGAAAATTAATTATCATTAAAATAAGTACTCTGTGATGTCTCTTGCAGAGATGCTGAAAGGTCTTAATGTTGCATAGAGGTTGAGTTGGTAATAGTGTAAAACAACTGATTAGTTTTCTGTCTCTGGCAGAGATTATTGATACATATACTGAAAGTGATATAGATTCTTTCTGTATTTTGTCTTGAAATAATTTTTGCACTTAAAATTTGGACTTTGTGCTAAAGTTTTTTGCCTAAAAATATAACTTCATGGATATTGTTCTGTAAAGGAACAAATATTTCAATATGTATGTTCTTAAGCTGCTTGGAAAGCCTTTTATTTGTCCAGTTTGATCTGTTTTCTGGCACAAAAGCATGAAATTCTCTGAATTTTTACTGTGGAGAAAAAACAGGAAAGCATAGCTTTTGTCTTGAACTAATACTGGAACCTCCCAGTATTTTGCTTATCACGTGAACAGAAACACCGGCAGTGTCCTCAGGCTATTTTAGTTGGAGTTGTTTCTTCTCAGTTCTTGTAATGTTTCAGATAGCAAGATAGGGATTGCTTGAGCAACAGGAGAACAGAATAGATAAATGAGTGTCAACACCCCTAATATTTGAAGGGGCTCTGTGAGGTAGGTGAAAAGACTAATAGACTTTATTTAAAAAAGAACCATGGCTCTTCAAGGATGTGGAGTTAGGATGTGTGTATTCACCCCTCCTCAAAGGAAGCACTGCCTGTGTTCATGCTGAATTTCAGTGTTGAGGAAGAGGAACTTAACAGCAAAATAAGAAATTAGAAATATGGGCAGTGGGTGAGATCTCTGACTATCTACAGAAATCAAAAGGGGAGTAGAAAGTATTTATTGGAAAATACATCAGAACTTAATCTCAAAATGAGAGAGTTTTTACCGTGTCTGTTTGAAAGAAGTTCTGAAAAGTGCTCAGTGACGATCTAAGTAGTATAACTTTCCTGATATTCTTTCCTAACTGGAAGTTTCATAAAGTCCATAAGCATTTTTTCTTGAGAATGTGTCTGACATGCATTGGTTTTAAGGGGGAAAAACAAAACTAGTTTTTCTTCATCCCTTTCCCATGGTCATGAAAGAATGGGAGTAAGTCAGCTGATGAGAATGACATAATTAAAGCAATATCTGATTACAATAACATCTACAAGCAATCTGAAAATATCATTGTGTGTTTTTAATATGTGTTCAAACAGTACGACATTGCTGCAGGACAGAAAAACAAGTACGGGGTTATAGATGTGTAGTTTGATTGGCTGTTATTTTGGTGAGGCATTTGGAAAGTCGCTTGATTTTGTACCTGTAAGTGTCTTACCAGGTTTCTTCTGTTTGCAGGGTTGTGGAGATTGCAGCCTGCCACTCTGCTCACACATCAGCTGCCAAGACCCAGAGTGGCCAGGTGTACATGTGGGGCCAGTGCCGAGGGCAGTCCGTGACCTTCCCCCACCTCACCCACTTTGCCTGCACTGACGATGTGTTTGCTTGCTTTGCTACCCCTGCCGTTATGTGGCGTCTGCTGTCAGTAGGTGAGCTCCAGCTCCCACGTGGCAGCCAGTGCTGTGTCCATTTTAGTGGTTAGTACAGGATACCTCTTCTGTGGCAGGTTGCTGTTTCAAGGAGGACTGGCAGCTAGTTTTTTTTTTTTCTTCTAAAGAAAACAGTCTGTTTTGGCAGCTAAGGATCCAGAGTAGGGTTAACAAGACTGTTTGCCAGTATACATCAAGAGTGAACCCTGTTTTTTCCTTGCACCATGAATGTTGTGTATTCCCTACATTTGAGCTGTTTGACCTTCTACTCAGGACTGGGAAGGAATCCTGGATCATTAAACATGCTGCTAATTCTTACTTGACCCCAAATATGCTATAAATCTCTTAACTTGGATTTCCTGGAAAACATGAGGGTGTTTTTGTGTTCAGAACATAAAGATGTTTCATCTTAGATCAGCCACTTCAGTTCATAAGATCATTTAGGAGATCTAATCTGTTTTCATGTTGACAACAGAGCCTAATTTTGTTAGTCCCTGTACAAAATTGTTTTTGTGGAGGGATGGATCACATCCTAAGTAACTTTTCTCCATACTCAGACTTTATCATTGTGTGTAGCTTTTCCTAAACCAGCTTCTGTCTTAATTTCTCATTTAGCATGTTATCATGTTTGTAGAGGTCCAGGTAACAGCATCCCATCTGTGGAGGAAAACGCAATAGTTTTACTAAAGAGAGAGAAGATTTGCTTGGAGTGGTCTGCTGCTGAGTAAATCTAAGTCTTGTTTTATCCCATTTCTCACTTTCTCCATTCTCTAATCCTCTGCAATATGTGTTAGTCTTGCTTTGTGTAGAGGTCTGAGCGTTGTTCAGTCCATTGCCTTTTGCTAATAGCAAGGGCTGCTTAAATGACATCTCCCCAGTTTCAGTACCTTTCAAGTTCTTGGGTTTTATGAATTACTCCCAGACTGAGTATAACCAGCTGTTTGAGTTCTGTTACCTGCATTTTGACACCTCTTGCCCTTTGGGGATTTATCCCTACTTACTTTGATAATCTTACTTACTGAATATTTAAATCAAAGGCATTAATTATGGGGGCATTTTTAATCTCTGTTTTCCATATGCTTGTTTTCCTTCTTCAACTTTTTAGTGATAGAGATTGAAAAACTCCTTTTTTTTTTTTTTATGGTGTTTTGTTTTCTTAGCAAGAGCTAACTCTGTCTAATGGTTATTGTTTTACTTCCAGTTATGGTAGCTCTGCCAAAAAAATTAGTCAGTCAGGACTGGCTGTGGTGAAGTACAAATCTGCAGCCTTTTTACAGGACTGAACTTAAGGTATTTGGAGTGAAAGTTGATCTGCATAGCTTAAGCTAAGCTGATGACCTAGAAAAAAAAAATCACATGAGCAAATGGAGAGGGATTGGAGCATGGTTTAGTTAGCCCAGATGAGACGCAGCTTCTGAGGATGATTCAGGTAAATCAGAGGAGTGTATGGTCTTTTGTGGCACAAATGTAACTTGTCAGTTCTGAGGAGTTTGTTACAGCAGTATTTCTTTTTTTAAATACTATTTAGCTGTCCCTAATGGTGAAGAGTGATTTGTGGATTTTATATGAATGAACAATGTGCAGTGCTGTGGGACACATGAGACACAGACCACATCCCAGGATAGTGGAAATCCATTTGTTTTTCTTTTCCATCCTGCACTTCTTAGAAGCCATGTGTCTTGAAACACATTTTTAAGATGCATCAGCAAAAGCTTCAAATAATGGGTTAAATTTGATTTTCTAAAACTTCAGAGTTCTTGATTTACCAGAAACCTTAGGCAACTTGTGCTGCAACTCTTGTATGATTTCTAGAGACAGTGGGACCTCTGTTGGACTGGTGCCATAGGCCTTAATAGAGAGAACTGGGATATCTCAGCTTTAATCCCTTTAATTCCACTTCCAAAATTGCTGAGGTCCTGTGTCCTTGGTTGTACCAAGAACACAGTGTCTACTATCTCTTCAACAGCACTGCTGTTGTATTTTGTGTTTTCATAGCTGAATAGTAAACTGAGTAAATGGTGTCAGTGATAGTTCATGTTAACGAGCCCTGGCAAGCACCTTACCAACCTGCAGGCTGTATGCAGTCTGCCAGCACAAGGAAGTGACCAAGTGGTGACATGTTTCCTTACTTTTTAGGCTCAGCTCGCACCGTGTCAGTGCAGCAGGAGTGCTGTACCCCATGTCCCAAGTGAGTTCAGAGATATTTGCAGACTCCCACAAGCAGCAGTGTGAAGATTAAGAGTTTGCAGGTAGCAGTGCTAGCATGGAGCTACCCAGAGGCTGCAAATTTCATGGGTGGTGCCCATGTGGAGAACAAGTTCTCCGGGTGCTTTCCTTGGTGCTGTGCTACAGCTGTGCAATGGGATGGAATGAGAACTGCTGCCTGTAGCTGTCATGGAATAGCCCTTCCCAACAGGGAGTGCTGTTGGATTAATTCATTCTTCCCATTTTGTCACTTGAGCCAGTGGAGCCCTGCCACTGATCTGTTTTCCTTGATGTGCTCTTAGAGTAGTTGCTAGCTTTAGTTAGAGATGTGTGTGTTCCATTTAGGATGCTTAATATGTTGTTTTCTTTTTTAAATTGTTTCTGTAGAGCATGAAGACTTTTTAACAGTAGCAGAGTCTCTGAAGAAAGAGTTTGACAGCCCGGAAACCTCAGATCTAAAGTTCCGTGTGGATGGAAAGTACATCTATGTCCACAAAGCTGTTCTGAAAATCAGGTAGTGGTCATGTTTTGCAGGTCTTATTTGTGCAGAATAACCTCTCATATCACATCTTGGGGGGGGGGAAAAAGTAAGGGGTAGGGTGGGACCCCTTAACCTGTGATGTGTAGCATCTGTGTATCCATAATCACTTTAAATGAAGTGACTATAAAAGGAGCGGTCCACATTCATTTTTCACTGAGCCTGTTTGTTGTTCCCAGGATAATAAATTCTGTTAAGTTGGTCTGATTGCAAATATATACATAGATGTTTCTGTAGCATAGACAAAATAAGAGTTTTATCTTAATGCATAACAAAGTCCATAGTTTTAGGAATGAAATGTCTGTGATGGGGTGTGGTAAAAATCTGTGAATATGACAGTGCCCCAAATACGGATTTTAGGGGGGCTGTAATGTAACATTTATGTGCTTGTATAACAGTGTTCCAGATGATGTCTTTGTCTCCTAGGTGTGAACACTTCAGAACAATGTTCCAGTCATACTGGAATGAGGATATGAAGGAAGTGATAGAAATAGACCAGTTTTCTTATCCTGTGTATCGTGCCTTTCTTGAGTACTTGTATACAGACAGTGTTGACCTTCCGCCTGAAGATGCAATAGGTATTGCTTACAGTCCAATTGTATTAGAAAGCAGCATCCAGAAAAACTGAGACAGGGGATGCAGAATTAAGTGTATAAACATAGGCTTCTAGTCTAGCCTATAATGCATTTTACTGGTGATTAATTAAGCTGTCTTTAAAAGACTCTTGTAGCAAACTTAATACAGCAAAAGTGGTGCACATTTAGAAATAAACTATGAGCAACTTTTTCAAGTTTGGCAGAGAAACTATTTCTCTGGGTTAAAATACTTACATATTTAAATTGAGTCAATTATTGTTTGACATAATTATCAAATAATTTCAGTAAATCTAATGGGAAAACTTGTACAGCAGAGCAATTACAGCAAGATGTAATTCAAGCCCATATTTTGATATTAGTAGTGTTTTATTCATGTTGTGGTGCCTGTTTTGTGACACTGTTGCAAGCATTAGGTATGCAGATCAGAGGAACAGCTCTCATGCTTACATGGATTAACAGGATTGCAGTGCGAGGTTATAAAAGGCCTTTCTTTGTGTGTGGTGTACATTTTCTGAGTAGTGACCTGCTTGCAAAAATCACATTATAGAGATTCAGAGCTTTGCACACAGAATACAGATGCAGTCTGTACCCTGGGAGCATAAATTGTTGCTGAAAGAGCAGAGATCATTACATCTAACTAATACAGTGGTGTTTTAATTGCAGGGCTTTTGGATTTGGCTACTTCGTACTGTGAAAACAGACTGAAAAAACTGTGTCAGCACATCATCAAGAGAGGAATTACTGTGGAAAATGCATTTTCATTGCTCTCTGCTGCTGTGAGATATGATGCAGAGGTAAACTTCTAAAGTCCAGTTTCTTAAATAGGTGGCTGGTTTCTGACTTAAACTATGGAGAAAGGCAGCCAGTTACGTTTTCATATAAGCTCTCTCACTCGCTGTCAGATAATGCTATTTGCCACTTTCAGAATTTGAGAATGTTGGACTTCTGAAAACTGTATTTGCCATGAGAGATGTATCTTAATTTTTCCCCGTAAACCAGTTCTGAGAAGGTGAGCTAGTACACAGATATTTCTGAGGATAAAAACACTAACTCTGAAACAAGGAAAGGGTTTAAATACCATGGAAAACACTATGAAAAGCAGACTTGTAAGCCTTCAAGTTACTTATTTGTAAGGCTGTGTGTTGTGTGTGATGACATATGATGGTAGGTTGGGGGTTGGGTGCATTTGGCTTTTTTTTTTTTTTGGTTGGTGGGATGTTTTTTTGTTGGCTTTTTTTGTTTTGTTTAGCTACAGTCAAATACAGTTCCAGTTTTCTCTGTCTGCTAATGACATGTCAAACTAAGAACTGCTTCATGGGCCTTACAAATGTTGAAGAGGGAGGAACAGTGTGCGGAAAGGGGGGAAGGCTGGTGAAACTTCCCTCTGTGTGATGTCTGACTTCACTACTAGACCACTAACATGCAGCTTTGAAAACTAATGGGGAAGTATGCCAGGGCTTGCTTTGGCTGTTTGTGGTCAGTGTAGTATCTGTGCATTGTGTTGGCAACTTTAAAAACCAGCCATTGGTTGGTTTTTAACTTGCTACGTATGCTTATAAAGCGGTTTTTTGGTACTCAGTAAATCAACTCATTGCTTTTTCTTGTATTCAGTATCAAGCAGATGGCATGTGGGTTGCCCTGACTTATTTCAGAGTCTTGCAGTGTGTTGCTTGTTTGATATATCTTACCCAAAGGGCTATGTTAGTGTCTGTTGTGCCTTAAGCTCTACTGTGAATGATATCTTTGGTGGGAGTTCATCAAAAGTAGAAGATTGGCATACTTTAGCCTCAAGATTGTTTGCAGGACAGATCTTCAGTTTGTGATTGATTCTGCTTGTAAAGGATATAAGAAATCCAGTTACTATGCTTTGTCTGCACCTCACTAGCTAAATGAAATTAAAAATCAAGTGAAAAGTATAGACCCAAATACTGCTTCCAGGAGAGAATGGGTGACCCTGAGGGGTTGGGCTTTTATAAAAAAGCTGGTTTTACATGCTGTAGTGTTAGCTGGGGACTTGAATTTGCTTGAGCGATGTAGTTCATCCAAGGGAGTGTGGGCCTGGAAGACAACAGTTAAAAGAAGCTGCTTCACTGATTTTAAAATACCTCCATGACGTGAAACTCTCCTACACTTTCTTTTGGTGACTGGCTGAAGTGACTATCATTAGGTCAGGGCTGGCTTTTAAAATAATCCTTAGCTGTGCCTTTATTCACCTAAGTCTATATTAAGTACAGTTTGCTGGGAGTGCATTCATCTGCAAATGAATTTCAGCCCTTTTTTTTAATACAGAACTTTAAATTTTCCAGAGTTACTTACTAATACTACAATAATTCTGTTTACTGTATGCTTCTGTTGCATTGACTTGGAATATGAATTTTTTTAATAAAGCAGTGCAAAATATTCTAATGTGTATGATGTAATTTTCTTTAAAATGCTAGTTAATTCTGTTATTTAAAAAAAAATACAAAACATCAGTGTTCAGTTCTAATAAGCTTGTCTTTTTTTGTTGCACAGATGCCACACAAGTCAAGATCTGCAGCTTCAGAATGCCTGGTTTTAGGCCAGGATATATTTTTATATTATTGTTGTGTCAAGAACTCCCACTAGCACACGCAGTTGCTGTAGCTTTCAGTATTGACCTTAAGTGAAAACATGATTAGTCTTTCATACCTCATGTGGCTTAAAGAGCTCTGCAGATTTGTTATGCCTTCCTGCAGTGCCCAGTCTGCTGAGCAGCTGAGGAAGGGTGTGTTCTCACATACAGAGTACTGGTCCTACAAATGTTTAATAAAGAAATGGGAACAGTGTGGGGAATTGCCCTTTTGTAAGGGCTGCAGTGTCCTTATAACAGCTTAGATCTGCATCACAGAGTAGATTCCTTCTCAAAAGAGGACTTGGAAATATTCAGTCTGAGTGGGAAGTGTCCTTATATTGACAGTGACTTGTGTTAAGACATCCTTTTGGTCTGACATCACGTGGGTGCACTTACGGTTGTGAGGCTTTTTGCCATGTAACTTCAAGACTTTAGTTAAGCCCTTAGCTAAGCGGGAGGTCAAGCAACCCTACAGAAACATTTGAGTTTATATTATGGAATGAAAGAGTGGAATTTTTTCTTCATCCACAGTCTTCACTATGTATCATTACCCTGAGATCTTCTATTTGTATTGGAGTTTAATAGCTGTTACTGAATGCAGATGAAAATCTTCAAGTGGGAGAACTTAAAATATATATTGCTCAAAACAGCTGATTTTTTTGACTGCACTATATAGTAAGAACCAGATTTTGGTTACTTCCCCTTCTAACTGCATTTACATAGTGACATGGATGGGTAGAATTATTATTTTCTGTTGCATTTATGTAGTGACTGTTTGGGGAGCAAACCATTGAGAGCCACTGGGTTAATGCTTGTCCAGTTCTCTGCAAAAATAAAGCATATATGGGCACTTGTGACTGAGTGAAATTTTCTGTGATGAAAACAAAGAGAATAACACTTTTTTTTTTCTTCCCTGTTTAGGACCTAGAGGAATTCTGCTTTAAGTTTTGTGTCAATCATTTGACAGAAGTGACACAAACTACAGCATTTTGGCAAATGGATGGTCCACTGCTAAAGGAATTCATTGCTAAAGCCAGTAAATGTGGAGCCTTTAAGAACTGACATGGGGCTGTAAGTTACGGTGCTGGTAGGGAGGTTTTTTGCAGTTACAGGAGGATGCCATAACTGTACGGGTACAGCAAGCATTATGTGGTCTCTTGCACCAGAAGACGTGAAAGGCCACTGTGAAAACAAATGTTTTCAGTGCTCCAGAGCGAACTGATGTACAAATGTCAAGGAAAATATTCACCTTCATTTAACCAAGTTGGATGGTGGAACCAGCTCGAGATTTGAGACAGGAAATGCTGCGGTATGCAAAGGACACTGGCCGGTGTTATGGACTTACCTTTCTAGCCTAGGAAATCTCAGTTCCAGCACTGCCTGCTCCTGTGTTCGGTTTACGTTTTGGGGTCGGAGCCACTGAATGATGTCACTTAAATCATTAACTCCCTGGGATTATAGAGAAGCAAATGGCATGGTTATTTCTTACTGCATTTGCATGATATTGAATGAATTGACCATTTGCTGTGTGTAATCAACCAAGTGTATCCAGTGCTTAAAGTGTGCAAAAATAATGTATCCTCAAAGCCTAGGCAAGTGACTTTTGAGGAAAGGAGTTACTAGCAAAACTAATTGGGAGTAAATCTCTATATTTGGGTATATTTTAATATAAGTTGTAATATGTACTTTGTGTAATCTGTTCAAGCAATATTTATAATGCTTAATGGAAATAATTCCCTCTTGAGTGACTTCAGATTACATTGGTTCCCTCAGAGGGGAAGGGATATACTGTACTGAAAGTTGGGTGGGGTTTTGCTTTTAAGTACTGTCTAAATTTAAACTACATGTAATAAAATTTAATTTTTTTGGTACCTGTTCACTAGCAAACTAATTTAGACTTTGAAGAATGTTGCAAGCTTTTTGTGCTACATACTGTATAAATTGTTTTATTTAAAAAAAAAAAGTAAACTCAAGAAAACAACAAAGGAAAACCTCCCAGCAAACAAAAACCATAGCCAAACTAACCCTTCATGCTATATTACTGAATCTTGCTGATTTCACTGTACTTGACAATACCTGTGATTTTGATTTCAGAATTGAGCAAATTTGTTTGTAGGCTCTAATTTAGACCTCAGTGATTGCAATCTATGGATCTGATTTTTTTCATTAAGTCATCCATATGTGACTGTAACCCTACAGCAGGTATGTATGGACATACACACCTACTATTCTCATCGTGTATTTTTAATAACAGAGCTCCACGTTAACGCACTTTTGTTTTAGGGGGGTGTTTTCTAGGCAGAATTGCTCTGAGTGGCACTTGAGTCCTGGGCATGGGCAGTAAGCTGGGCCCAGACAGGCAGCAGGCCTGAAGTGTATAAGCAATTAAAATTACTAGTATTTTGTTCTATGGGGCACAGCTAATAGTTCAAGAGCTTGTTTTGAACGTTGTTCTGTGCTTATTGATGCCCACCGTCCTACAGAACAAGCTCCTGTCAGGAATTCTGAATGGTCAGAGGCAGAGTACAGCTGTTGTAACAGGATGTTACACTTCTCATGAAACCATGAGGGCAGTGGAACACTGGTGCTGCTCTGCTTTCTGCTGAGGCATGGGGTGGTTACAGCAGGGCCTGACACTGTTCCCCTCCTTGGTCACATCCTATGCAGCGGGGGGGGCAGTGAGCACAACTCCATACATAGCTTTTTTAAAAAATGTTTTATTTTGTGAACTTCACCTTTTGTAGCTAAACAATGCTTTTCTGTATTCAAACAACTTTTTAAAGGCAAAACACAGGGAAGTTGGATCCTTTCGTACTGGAGAAAGGAAGACGCAGACCACTGTTTGATCCCTTTGACATTGTACATATTCCGAGGATAATGCCCAACTGTTTTTGGTCTGCCTGTAAACACTGTATTGCCACTGCCATTACAGCAGAACTAGTTACACATTGACCAGTCAAACAAGAATAACTTGGGTTTTTTAATTTAAGTCCTGTTCAACATTCAAAAGGCTTCCTTAAGTGCAAGTTCTGCTCGTTTATCTTCTTTGGAAAGCCAAAGCACCAATATGATTCTGAAAACATCACTGTCTAGACACAGACAGTGAAGCAGCGATGGCACAGTCAGGAGAGGGCTCCACAGTTAAAGTGACTTTAACAAGTGTTCTGTTGCATCTGATGTTCCCTTGTCTTGGAGCAAAAAGTCTTCACTGGAGGGTTTAAAAAAGCTAAATTTAGTGTGTAACACTGAAGTACTACACAGTAAGGTTTGAAGACGAAGATTTGAAAATTTTAAGAACTTAAAATTATTGCACCATTGAGGTATAAAAATGAATATGTGACCCAGTTCTTGTTTATGTCCCTGTCTTGGGAGCGGGAACTTAGACATGAACCAGATGGGCTCTAGGGTTTCTATCATTAGAAAATCCTAAATATTGACACGATTACAGACAGACTTGAGCGTTATTCAGACAGCATACTAGATGTACTGGCTGTGCTCTCTGGGGTAGGAAGGATTTCTTTTAAGTCCTGCAGTAGCTCTATCTTGTGATCCAGTCTTTTTCTGTTTTCTAGAAGTTCTTGTATTTTTTCTTCTGTTCCTATTGCAAAAAAGAAAAGGATAAAAAAGCCTTTATTCATACATAACTATTTATTTAATTTAAAATACATGTTACATATGCATAAACACTGCAGAGGCTACAAATGCCTAGTTTAAACTACAATCCTCTGCCTTTCTTCAGCAACATCTTTAACCCACCACTCTGTACGCTTGGGCTCTTCATGAAAAGCTGGACCATGTGTTGGAAGAAAGAGCCCAACTGATACATCAAAGAAAGCACAAAGTAGTGTTCCCATACTTTGTTATCCACCTAACAAAATCCATAATGTAGCTGGTTTTGGGATTAAATTTAAACCATCACATCATATGTAAAAATTATTAGTTTAGTTACTAACCCAGTGCCAACTGGCATATGAACTTTAACAATTCCCTTTTCAGATTTCATTTCTATGGGAAAAAGATGCATTTTAAATCTTTAAAGATAACATCTCTGAATTACAGTCTTAACGTAAATTTACTAGCAGATTTTAGCATACGAGACAATTAAACCTAAAAAGAGATGATTTGGACAACTGCATTCAACGGCTCTATGCTCAAAACTACAACTTGAGCATTTAATTCTGCTTCTGGCAGAATTGTTATTGACAGTACCCTGATGGGATTAACCAAGGTGTTTACCTTATTTGCAAAGCTCTGCCTGACTGCATTTCTGCTTCTCTCTGTTGCTTCCATTTTCCTAATGTTAAAGATTATTGAAGTCAGTGAGATCTTGGTAACAGGCCTTGCCAGTATTCAGCAGCATTACCAAACCTTACAGTGTTAATTGCAAGTTTTAATTGAAGTACCTGCTTTGTTCAGTTAACAAGACACACAGAGGTGTTGGTGACCTCTGAGCAGCAAGGTTGGTCTGTGAACAACAAATGAGTTTTTCTCAGTGTGTGAGAATGTCAGAGTTCACATTCTGGTAAGAAGGAAAAGACATTTTATACAAACTGAAAATATTTTTTCTCTTTTGTGGGAAAGAGGATGTCTCCAAAGGGGTAGAGTGGGGAAATTATCTCCAGATGTTTATCCCATGACATTTGGAATTACAGAACCTTAACTGATTCAAAAAAAAGAAAAAAGCAAAGCACCTTTGGCCTTCCACCTCCCTGCTGCTTCTTCCTCTGCAGTAGAAAGCCCATAACTGCTGCTGTCTGTGCATGTATGTGGAAGATTATGTACGTGCATGTTTTTAAGTACATTACCCAGAGCTGGGTGTGGGTGTTGGAAACAGGCTCCAGAATGATGGTGGTGCCTGCTGCCCATGGAAAATTCTGGTAGCAGATCATTGGTGCCCCACGCTTGCTCTGACTGAAGAGAAGCAGATGGCTCCTTCTCTCTGCAGTCAGGTGATAGCAATATTTGACAGCACTTCCCCCTGCTGCCCCCCAAAACCTGTGCCTGCCCCTTCACAGTGTTTAACAGCTCAACAGCAGACAAATCCACAATGGAAACAGTCCCCTTCACTGCAGGGGCAGGGGGCAGGCAGCCTTCATGGCACTTCCATGTGGTACCAAGCCCATGCGGTCACAAGAACTAGCAGGCACATACTTGAAGAAAAAGTTGGACATACACAAGTGAAAGCCGGAAAAAAAAGCCCTCCTAGAGACTATTTGGATATGAATTAAAAAATTATGAGAAGTAAACAAAACAGCTTGGTTAGAGCATGGTGCTAGTAATGCCAAAGTTGCAGGTCCAATCCCCATAGGGGCTGTTCACTTAAGAGTTGGACTCAGTGATCCTCGTGGGTCCCTTCCAACTAAGAATGTTCTGTGAGGATGTATTCAGCATTTGGGCGATCTACAGATGGAAGACCTACAGCTCAGACATACAGCTGTTTCTCTTCTGCCAAAAGGATGTGGCAGAAATAGAAATAGCCCAGAGAAAGATGTCAGGGATGGGAATGACTGGCCTATGGCAGTGCTTCCACAGGGAGGCAGAAACAGATGAGGAACCTTCTACCTCATAGAGGAAATGACCTAAAGGGAAAGAACATGTATTTCTTTAAAATCAGGAATGGCCTGAGGGACATGGGCCTGGAAGGACTGCCCTTGATCTTCTGTAAGACAACTGCTGTGGACTCTCAGTGGAGGAACTGCACTGCACTGTTGTTTTAAAATTAAGGATCATGGCCTTTTGTCCGTGCAACTTAATTGCAGAATTTGCTGCTACAAACCCCCTAAAAACAAATGCTACCAAGGAGCTCAAAAGCTACTGGACAGACAGCTGACCAGCAAAGAGGAAATGGAAGCTGATGGAGAGGTATCTTCCCAAGCAGGATGCACAACAGAACTGAAAGCAAAACTAAAGGAAGTCACTTTTCCTTGGAGAAGAGGACAAGGACCTCCAACCTAGAAATCTGAAACTGCTCCTGAGGTGATAGCACGTCAGGAGAGTGACTTTCCATAGCACGTATGGAAAGTTTTACAAGCAGACAAGTTTGCAGTAAAGCTGCATGCTGCAAGAGAACTGTGTATCCCTGCATATAAAAGGGATTTAAAATAGCAGTATCAACAGTTACAGTTCAGAGTAACCTTGCTGTGCTGACACATAAGGCTTTAGAACAGGGTTTGCATGATAATGCAACAAATGAAAAAAATAAAATGCAAAAATGGATTGAAGGTAAGGCATGTCAGATGACCCAAAATCATCAGCTCCAGGAAAATATCAAAGAAGACACAGTATTTATACTAGTCTCACTTTATTTCTTCCTTGACTTAGTACATCACCACAGAGACTCCCTATCTAGAGCTTGTAAGGCAGGTGACAACAACAGAAAACCCAAACCAAACAAAAAAAACCCCCTGGTGATATTCTTCCCTCCCTACAGTCTCACTTTCATTCCTTTCTCACTGGTTCATATTAAGAGCTCCTCTTCAATCAGTTTTGGAACCAGCCTTGATGTGTGTTTTCATTACTGACCTTAAAATTAAAAGGAGGACAGTGGCATCAGAAAAGAAGATTGTGTGGTACAGGAAGAACTGAGCTGCCCAAATCATGGGGAACTGGGAGAGGGGACAACTTGTACCCACAAGAATCACATGATTGTGTGCACGTAGGTGCCAATATCAAGAAATTTTCCTGCAAGCTGAGAAGAAAGTGAAATAATTGATGCAGCTGTGAAAGAAACAAGTACGATCCAAGGTTGTGTCACGTGAGGAATTCCGATCTGAGATGTTTTAATGCCCTCAGACATTCTGTCTGACACTGGCAGAACCTTGTGTCAGACAACTGCAACACCAGACACTCCTACTGCTGAAAAGGGGATTTAAGTGCAAGAACAGAAGACTAAAGGGAGGAGCCTGGCTTTTTCAGTCAAGTGAAGGGAAAACAGCAAACATTGCCTTCACACACTGAACCTCAGTGTTAGCTAATTAAAGCCCCTTTCACTGTAATAAATTAAAGCAAAAGTCAGAACAAGGCTGCTAACTCTTAGAGAGCAAGAGTTAATCGGAGCGAGAGACTCACCTGTCTGAAAAAGTTTTAGCCTTGTTGCTTAAATCAGCCCCAGAGTTTCCTTCCACACTGCTCATCCCAAGCAACCACTCCTGCCATTGTTTCCATTTCACTCTGAGCATTCTCATCTTGTTTTTCAAAGCATGTTAGAATGGCCACAGGCCCCGGGTAAGTTCTGCTAGTGCTTGGCTGCTGTGTTTCAGTTAAAGGTATTAGTCTGAACACCTGTCAGGCAGCAGCAGAGCTATAACACAGGCAAGCTACTGAAGAGAGGCTGCAGAGAAGGAACCAAAATAACCTGCAGGAGAGGGGAGTTCCCCTGGGGCAGAGACCCTTTGGTCTTTTAAAGCTGTGGAACTGAGTTGCCTGCCCCCTTCAGCAAAATTGGCATACTGTATTTCTAAAGATTCAGGTAGCAATGGCTTTTATTCAAGAGTTTACATAATATTGAAAAAAAAAAAAGTTCCTTGGAATTTTCATTTTAAATTATCATTTTATCAAAATTCTCAGAAGAATAGCTTCAATGCCAAAACCCAGACCAAATGCTACTGTTCTAACAGCTTTTCCGCACGTACCTGAATGAATATTTGTCAGTATATTTTCAAACAGTCCACAGTCAAACAGTGCCATTACTGTCTCTTCATATTCTGGGGAAAGAGATAATTTGATATAATATTATCGAGTAAAGGTTTACAGAGCCCTACATTAGAAGGAACACAAAACAGTAGTTAGTTATTTTCCATCATACTGATTGCTTGAGGTTTTAAGATGTCTTCCTTCTCATACAACCTATAATGAGAAAGAAGGATCAAGTTGTCAATTCTACTTTCTTTTTAGTTCTCTATAGAAAATAATTCCCTTTTTGGGTCTGCACCACATGAACAGTCCATTTAAAAAAGAGCAATATACTTCAGTCATATTCCATTCCATTGTGTCAGGACTGTGTGATGGCAGGGCTGACCGTACCATTTTCCTCTGACTGATCATGTGACGTGTGGGACAGAGCTATTCTTGTTCAGTGTTAAAAACCATCCAAGAATTATGCATCAGTTTCATACCTGAAGCTTCTGTTGAAGCAAAATACAAAATGCTCACAGAGTTCAACTGACCATTAAGAGGTTTCCTTCGTGATGCAGACTCTGAATCTCTAATGTGTCCTGGACTTCATTGCTGCTTCCAACAGCTGCTATCATGTCATACACCAGCTGCTTGTGAAGGAAGACATATCTAGGTGGGAAATTTCACTTTCCATGCATGTGCTTCAGTTACTTTGCATAAAATAGCATTCTTTATGCAAAGGTATTACTCATAACTTTGTAAAACAGAGTACAATAGGAGAGGAAGGTTTGAAATTTTATTTAATGGTGTTGTGGACAAAGCAACATTAAACTGGAATTCCCCAAGAACAATGTACTTCATAGAAGCTGATAAAACTGATGAAAACCCCAGATAGGCACTAAGAGCTGACAGTTTAGTTGTAACAAATCAGTCAAAGACTTAAAGTATACATACTCAGAGATTTTTCACTCAGAAGAGAGTGCTGATATTAACAGACAGCCGGTCCCTCTGTGAAGCTGTAAGAGCAACACAGACTTACAATCCAAATAAAACCTTCCAGTTCTCTTCAGGACCTCTCTCTTTTTCACTGCCTGGGAGAAGAGGCCACTCTGAGCCTTCCTATGTTTATGCCAGTGGGTAAAAGGTGGCTTCAAAAATTCAAGTCAGAAGGTCTCACTAGAGCATGCTCAGTTGGCAGCTCTTATATAATGTTGAGAAAAGTTCCTTGGAATTTTAATTTTAAACATTTAAAAGGGAAGGTCATTCTCAACCCACTGCACAGCTGCAGAAATAAGACAGGATTATATTTAGCACTACAGTATCCCCAGGAAGGTGGCCCAGGGCCAAGTACCTGGCATTCAGATCTGCATTTCTGCTTTGAGAGCAGTCCCCCAAGGGTCTCCATACCTGTTTCTGAAGTGTTGTCATCCATTAGTTTTTCCTGTGCCAGGTGAAGCGTGTCCAGCATTTCTTCAAATATGTCATCTAGAAGCCCAGCCTGTTTGCATTTCCTTACAAGGTCTATCTGGACTGTTAAAACACAAAAACACACTCATAAAAGTGATCTGTAAAGTGGGCTTTACTCCCTGTCTTCAGAAACTAAAACTAAAACTTTTTGGTGAAAAACCTCCCTCTGGTAGCAAATATTTTTGCAAATCTCTGGCTCCTCCAGCTACCCATGCAGCCCTTTTCAATGGGAACAAAAAAGTGGTCTGGCAAATGTAAGCACTATGCTGGGTGTAAAATTCCCTAAGCTCTAGGTTTAGCTTCGTTCATCAAAAGCAAATATCTCAGTAACTCTAAATGTACCATTCCTAAAGACTCCTGGAACTCTCCAGTACAGGAAAGCAAGTGATTTGTCTTGCTTGTTCTTCTTCCAATCCTTAGAACCACACCAGAAAACAGTGCAAGAAGTGAATCAGTATTGGATTTAGTAATAATTAAGGCTACTTTTACTCCAAATGATCCAGGCATTAAACTTGTTTATTACAGCCCATTTTATAGACCTACTTTGTCAGATTTGGACTGCTAGAGAAATAACTGTCTATTTTTAATTCATCTGGGAGCAGCAGGTCAGCAACAAGTCTCAGTAATGAGCAATGGGCTGTTCAAAAGGAAAGAGCTATCGGACAGTTCACAGAAGTCTGCCAGTCTCCATTAAAAACACTATGTTTTACTGGAGACATTTGTGAGAAAAGAAACGTCACCTCACTTACATGTGATGCCCTACAAGTATTTCAGGATTCTATATAGATTCCCTGTTCTTTACAGTGATAGTAGAAATTCAGAAAAAAGCACTAGGCAGCCACCTGAAATACCAGGCCCATACACTAAGCATATCCACAGGAGGTGAATAATCACCACTAGCACCTTCCAAACTTCCAGGTGACAGCAGAATCCCGACAAGCAATTGCAGCAGGAGCTTCAGGGTAACATGAAAAGCGCGGCACTGAAGGACGGGTCCTGTGGTCCATTTCACTGTTGTAATATCCTATTTATGCAGTAAATTGCTATATTGTGTTAAGCACCCTATGTACACCCAGGCTTCAAAAGGTAAGATATGCTGCCCCCACATCTCGCAGCACCTCCTCAGCTAACCCTCTCCAGAGCACCACCATGCTGAACTCACCTCTCTCCTTCAGGAGGGGCTCAGGACAAGGAGACTAAAGTGAAGGAGGACAGGTTCCCTTTTAAATTTAGCTGCACTCATACGGAGGAGGGAGGTCAGGCAGAGGCACCCCCATTTGCAGGAGACACAGAGCTGAACGCAGCAGCCAGAACGGGGGCATTCTCAGGTGAATCACCAGCTCACATCACACAGCAAGTCTCACTCAGCCAAACCACAGATATTTGTTTGCTCCACAGTCATTCTGCAAATCAGACTTCTGCTGCCATGCCAGAGCTTGGACAGTCACTCATCTCAGGAGAACAATAAAGGTACATTTGCAGCATCACTGCTACCAGCTATCTCCAAGCTCTGGACTTCAACATAACAGATCATAATACCTCCTAGTTGCTCTATAAAGTCAGTCTCACCTTTATGCCTGTTGTTTTTTCTTTTTAGTGTTTGGAAATGGTTTTCTTCTGCTTTCTCTTCTGTTTTCTGTAAGACAATCAAAACAATATATTTTTACATCATACTAACATTTACTGCTGTTTTCATTACCAGAAAGATAGAGAGCAGCCTGCATTTCTGTGAATACAGTCAGCTTTTCTGCACAGCTAGCGATATTCCTCTTCAGACATTCAATTTTTAAAATGGAAGCAAAAAGCAAAAACACTAAGAAAAGCCCAACACTTGGGACACCACCCTCCTTAATCACTTCATTTGCAAATAGCAGAAAAGTTAACAAATGTCTATTGCTAACTCCCAGGGCAGATGATGTTTAGCTCCCTAAACCTGATGTAATGCTGGGAACGATTTGGAAAAGGGGAATGTTTTCCTTTGGACAGGATGCAGTCAGTCTCTCCTGTTTCACGTCATACCACAGGACTGTGAACAATTCTTCAGTTCTGTCCCAAAACTCCACCAGTGTAAACGTGCATTGCTTACACAGTGGTAAACAATTTATCCTACAGTGATAAATCCTGAAACCCCTCACCTTTTTATTTGCAGTGTTTGTATTGATTTCCAAGATCACTAGCATGGGAGAAGACCAGAAACAGAGCAATACTGTGAGTAACTGGTCAAACAAATCTCAGTTATAATACCAGATGAGAAATTCTTGGAGAAAAATAACCAACCCTTCTGACAGTACTACATAAATGCTGAAACATCCCCTCATATGATCATCCACATCCCCTCATATGAACTCCCTTTAATCTCAAGACCTGGGAAAGGCAGACTATTTTCCCCATGGAAAGCTGGACACCAATTCCTCTAGAAAGAGAAAATCCCAACCCCTCCAAATGTCAAAGAGAATTCCCACGCACACTTCTGTAGAGCCAAGAGAATCACCTCAAAACTTAAAAGAAGTTCTATTTACAGGTTTCCTAACAACAGCCTGTAAAACAATTCCCCCTGCAACCAGAGGGATGTTTGCTTGATAGCTTCAAACCCTTGGGAAGGCCATCTGCAGAGTCCAGAGCTGCCTGATCTGCAATGAAAGTCTGCCAGGCTTACCATGAGCACAGTGTGCTCACACAAACAAGTGCAGGTTTAAAAGACCGACTGACTCATCAAAAGCAGTTTTTCGTGGAAGCTGTGTCAAGCCCTAAGCAAACCCAAGGGGCATTGTACTTCCAAAGAAATGGAGCCCCCAAAGGGAAGCTCTTTCTGCCCATGCCAGGATCACAGCCACCAAGTCAGCCTGGTTTGGAGGGTCCTACTGCATTTATAGTCTAATTGCCACATTACAGGAGGGCAATGCCAGCTCTGCCTGAAGTGGCTTCAAATGCAAACAGTTTTGGTTTGACGGAATGGCAAGATCCAAACGAGGCAGCCGTAAAGGACAAGCAAACTGTTTCTGTGAGGAAGTCTTTCTCTGAACACACAGTCAAAATACTTCACTAAATAAGTCCTTTGCTGTAGCAGATGTGGGTTCCTGTTTTAGACTGCTGAAATTCAGAATTACCATTTCTTCTGTGATGGTAGGAGATGTCAATGTATATCTTCTCTTCTTATTAGCTGCACCTAGTAATCAATAAACAACAAAGAAACAAGTGCAACAACCTCAGACTGATGACTACACATCATTCAAACTCTTTTTATCCCAAAAAGCTACTCAAGTGAGGCACTTTGGGTGGCAAGGCAAGAGTATGTTTCAGCTTCCCCAAATACCTGACATTTCAGTGGAATGCATGTTATTTCCATCTAAGAAAAATTACAACCCTGAACCATTAGGAAAACATGCAAATCACTGTAGCATTAGAATATCACTTTACCTTTTAAACTCAGCAGATTTTTGATTGTTGCAGAGTGAACTTATTTTCCCTGGCAGCAGCACTACCTCTAGTGGTAAAAACTTCCGGCAAATTTAAAAAGACGATTTCTTTTTTTTTAAGACAATTCTTGTTTATGTTAATACACCCTCAAAATTAAGACTGCATAAAGAATTATTTTAGGTGTCCCAAAGATATGCAAATGGCATTAGATTTTTCATTGATTTAATGACCATCCTAGAAAACCTCCAGAAGCAGTCTGACTTGTCAGTTGAATATTATTTATGCTACAAAGTGTTTTTAGTGATGTGGTATTAGATCTCTGCAAAATCATCTGCTTTCACTGTGTCCTTTCCATTAGCATGCAGCAGCCTCTTGCCAACAGCCTATCTGGCAGATTTTGGAAACAGCTACAGTATCAGAGAAGGATAACTCTGGCAAGGAAGAGATGGCAGGAGCAGAGAAATCCTGAGAAGAGTTCAACCACCCAACAAAACCTGAGAGTTTTAAGTGCAGTGGGGTTATATGCTGCCTTCTGTATTTAAGTCCAGAACCTCTGGACGGCACTTTAGTAAGGTCTTTCCTGTTAGAAGTCATCCTGTCAAAAGGAATGAGGAGTCATTGTACAAGGAGGCTGTTGAAACAAGTTTGGGCTTTGGGTACTGATGCCGTACATTTGCATTTTTCACAGCATGAAAGGAAATCATAGTCTCTGACTTGATCCAAAATAAAGCTGCATGGCCTAATTTGTGTCCAGGAGACATAGGTGTAGATACAAAGTGTTCCTTGCATGACATCTTTGACATGTGATGGGATTTTCTAAACTCTCCCTGATATTTGCCATGAGGACACCTTATACAACAAGAGGAACACAGCCCAAAGAGTAGCCCAACCTCTCCCACCCTGCACAGCACCTGCTGCTCTCTGTCAGCCTTTACTCTGTCCACATCCAACATTTCCAGTTAAACAGATGTTGGAGCCTGTTTCCAAGCCCAAACTGCCCTCCCATGTGGAGCTGCCCTCTCCCTGTGTAGAGCTGCAAGGAGAGTTCTTGGCCCCTAAGGCATCTTATCTGCTTAATTAAACAGTAGAGCCCCGACAATTCAGCACAAGAACATTGTCTCAACAAAGAACAAGGGGATGTTCCTTGACCCTATTTTCTTGAAGCTACTGGGGAAAACAGGCCTGGAGAGGCAGCTTGTGCTCCCACACAGCCCAGTGCTGAGTTACTTCATCCAAGTTGGATCCTGAAAGTCAGAACTACCACGCAGCCAGAGCACTTCCACCCCAGCCTGTCTCCCTCACTGCCCTATGCAGACCTGCAAACACCTCAGCACAGGCATCCCCTGCCTGCTCAGATGGCCCAGACAGAGCACCTGCTACTTCAGCTGATTCACCAGCTGATTCCCCCAGCTATTCCAAGGGCCACGTGTGCATCTGAGAGCTGCTTACAAGCAAGAGACCTCTGGCTTGGGGAACAGCTACTCTATCAGACAGGTGGGAGAAGGTGATTTAGGAGGCAGGGCAGACACTGCCAACAGAATCCATTTAGCCCTCAGAGGGTCTCCAAATTAGGTGCCTCTGGAAGAACTCTAGGAGAAAACTCTGTTCTCAGGGAATACGTCATACATCGTATGTGCAACATTTGACAACACAAAGACATTAATGATATTAATGGAAGAAGTACCAGGGCGATTAAAAAGGATTTGAAGGTGCTGGGTCAATTAGTTAATGGGACAGGAGCACAGGTGGTGTTTGCCTCAGTTCCTGCAGTAGCAGGGATGAATGAGGAGAGGACTAGGAAAACTCATCTTATTGGTTTTTTTGACCATGGGGCAAATTCCGTGGTACCTAGTCTCCTCAAATCAGATGGGCTTCATCTATCTAGGAAGGGCAAAAGGACTCTAGGCCATAAGTTGGCAGGGCTGATCAGGAGGGCTTTAAACTAGGTTTGAAGGGGGAAGGGATTGAAACCAGGCTCTCCAGAGAGGAGCATAAGGGTGGAAAGCCTGAGTTAAGGGTGAAATCAGCAGCCCAGCTGAAGTGCATGTACACCAGTGCACACAGCATGGGTAACAAACAAGAGGAACTGGAAGCCATCGTGCAGCAGGAAAGCTGTGATGTAGTTGCCATCATGGAAATGTGGTGGGATGACTCACATGACTGGAGTGCTGCCATGGGTGGCTACAAGATCTTCAGAAGGGACAGACCAGGTAGGAGAGGTGGAGGGGTGGCTCTATATGTTAGAGAGTCTCTTGACTCTGGGAACTTGAAGTCAGTAACAACAAGGTTGAGTGCCTGTGGATCAGAACCAGGAGGAAGGCCAACAAGGCTGACATCCTGGTGGGAGTCTGTTCCAGACTGCCCAATCAGGATGATGAGGGTGATGAATTATTCTGCAAGCAGCTGGCAGATGCCTCAAAATCACCAGCCCTTTTTCTCATGGGTGACTTTAACCTGCTGGATGTCTGCTGGGAACTCCACATAGCAGAGAAGAGGCAGTCTAGGAGATTCCTTGAGTGAATAGAGGATAATTTCCTGCTCCAGCTGGTAAATGAGCCTACCAGGGATGGGGTCCTGCTAGACCTGCTGTTCACAGAGAGGGGCTGGTGGGAGATGTGGTGGTCGGAGGCCGTCTGGGGCACAGTGACCACGAAATAATAGAGTTTTCAATGCTCAGGGATGCAAGGAGGGCCATCAATAAAACCTCTACGCTGGACTTCCAGAGGGCAGATTTTGGCCTACTCAGAAGACTAGTTCAGAGTGTACCCTGGGAAACAACCCTTGAAAACAAGGGGGTCCAGTAGGGATGGACATGCTTCAAGAAGGAAGTCTTGAAAGCACAGGAGAAGGCTGTCCCAGTGTGCCAAAAGGCGAGCCGGCAGGGAAGATGACTGGTCTGGCTGAACAGGGAGATTTTGAAGGAAATTAGGGTAAAGAAGAGAGCCTACCGATTATGGAAAAAAGGGCTGGTTACTCAGGAAGAGTTTAGGAATATAGTTAGGTCATGTAGAAAGAAAATTAGAGAGACGAAGGCACAATTTGAACTCAATTTTGCCACTTCTGTGAAGGATAACAAGAAGTCCTTCTACAGATACATCAATAACAAGAGGGGCAAGGAAAACCTCCATTCTTTACTGGACATGGGTGGAAACATAGTTATCAAAGATGAGGAAAAGGCTGAGGTATTTAACACCTTCTTTACCTCAGTTTTCAACAGTAAGACAGGTTGTCCTGAGGACAGCTGGCTTCTGGAGCTTGTAGAAAGAGATAAGAATCTGAATAGTCCCCCTGTAATCCAGGAGGAAACAGTTAGTGACCTGCTGAGCCACTTGGATCCTCACAAGTCTGTGGGACCAGATGGGATCCACCCAAGGGTGATGAGGGAGCTGGCGGAAGAGCTTGCCAAGCCTCTCTCCATCATCTACCAACAGTCCTGGCTCACTGGGGAGGTCCCAGATGATTGGAAGTTGGTGAATGTCATGTCAATCCATAAAAAGGGCTGGAAGGAGGACCCGGGAAACTACAGGCCTGTCAGCCTGACCTCAATGCCTGGCAAGGTTATGGAGCAGATCATCCTAAGTGCAATCACACAGCACCTACAGGATGGACAAGGGATCAGACCCAGCCAGCACGGGTTTAGGAAGGGCAGGTCCTGTCTGAACAACCTGATCTCCTTTTATGATCAGGTGACCTGCCTGGTGGGTGAGGGGAAGGCTGTGGATGTGGTCTGTCTGGACTTCAGCAAAGCCTTTGACACCGTCCCCCACAGCATAGTCCTGAAAAAGCTGGCAGCCCACGGCTTGGACAGGGGCACTCTCTGCTGGGTTAGGAACTGGCTGGAGGGTTGGGCCCAGAAAGTGGTGGTGAACGGTGCTGCATCCAGTTGGCATCCGGTCACTAGGGGTGTCCCCCAGGGATCAGTGTTGGGCCCAGTCCTGTTTAATATCTTTATTGATGATTTAGATGAGGGGACTGAGTCTATCATCAGCAAATTTGCGGATGACACTAAGTCGATCAGCTGGAAGGCTGGAGGGCTCTGCAGAGGGACCTGGACAGGCTGGAGAGTTGGGATGATTCCAATGGGATGAGGTTCCACAAGGTCAAGTGCTGGGTCCTGCACTTTGGCCACAACAATCCCATGCAGTGCTACAGGCTGGGCACAGAGTGGCTGGAGAGCAGCCAGGCAGAAAGGGACCTGGGAGTTTGGATTGACAGGAAGCTGAACATGAGCCAGCAGTGTGCCCAGGTGGCCAAGAAAGCCAATGGCATCCTGGCCTGGATCAGGAACAGTGTGGCCAACAGGTCCAGGGAAGTGATTCTTCCCCTGGACTCAGCACTGGAGAGGCCACACCTGGAGTACTGTGTCCAGTTCTGGGCCCCTCAGTTCAGGAAGGACATTGAGGTCCTGGAGCAGGTCCAGAGAAGAGCAACAAGGCTGGTGAAGGGACTCGAGCACAAGTCCTATGAGGAGAGGCTGAGGGAACTGGGGTTGTTCAGCCTGGAGAAGAGTAGGGTCCTCACTCTCTACAACTCCCTGAAAGGAAGTTGTAACCAGGTGGGGGTTGGTCTCTTCTCCCAGACAGCCAATGGTAGGAGAAGAGGGCATGGTCTTAAGCTGTGCCAGGGGAGGTTTAGGTTGGATATTAGGAAGAAATTCTTTACAGAGGGGGTAATCAGGCATTGGAATGGGCTGCCCAGGGAGGTGGTGGATTCACCGTTCCTGGAGGTTTTTAAGAGTGCCATGGTCTAGTAATCATGGTGGTAGTGGATCAAGGGTTGGACTTGATGATCTCGGAGGTCCCTTCTAACCTGGCTGATTCTATGATTCTATGAATGCTCACAGTCCAACTGAGCTTCACTTCAGAGCAAAGGCCAGTCTAGGACCCACTTCACTTTGAGCAGGGTTGCATGCATTAGATTAATAAAGTCCAGCTTTGGCTGGTTAATTCAGTGAGATTTCCAATTACCTCTGAATCAGCAAGGATCAAGACTGCCAAATTAAGCTGCATTTCTGTAGCATAGGAAGCAATCCTTGAACAGGTTGTATAACCCTTTTGTTACACTGAAAAAGTTCTTTGGAATCCTTCAGAATGAAAGGCTCTATTTTAGAAAGTACTGCAGTGAATACAGAAGATGCAAAAGTGAATGTTTGAACATAACTACAGATAAAATCTCAAGGTGACCTCTTCCGTAACAGCCTCTCTTTGCTAATCAAGTGCAAACTTGTGTGTGGCTCTCCTGTCTCACGTGGACTTTACAAGCTGCCTGGGCCTACCTGCCGGAACAGAGTCAGAATAATTCCAAAAAGGATCAGGTCCATGGTGGTTTAAGTCAGTTTTGAGGGAGATTTAGGGAAAATTAAATTTAAACATTCTTCAATTAAATTTAAACATACTTCAAAAGACCTTCTTGATTTTTGTGCATCCATGTGGATCTCAACCAAACCACTCCTGCAAGATTGGAAATCCACCACTCAATATGAAGGTGGAGTAACATTTATTTTGTTCAAATGAATTACTGACTGCAGGATGCAAACTTTTTAGAACAAATGAAATCAATGAAGGTGTTAAAGAAACTCACCATAGTGACTGGTCCTATTGCTTGGGTCATGTTTTGGGCAGAACACTCTAAAATTTAAGTTCAATTTTAAGAAAAAGAGAAAAAGTATTAATAAATATGTAAACAGAGTTATGCTGACTGATTTTAACAGATATTTCCCCCTCTTTTCATTAAACATAAACTGAAAGACACTTAAAAAGAATTATCAGAATTTTTGTTCAGCATTACCCACCTAAGAAGGCACCTGCTATGAAGTCACAGGCCATGCACAAGCTTGTATCTCTACTTTTAGAGCCTCACTGGACTCTCAACACCGAAGCCTTGAATGACCAGTTCCATCAGCCCACTCTGCCTGGACCCACCCACTGTTCCAATCCCACGTCAGACACACTTCATCTGGTGTGGTGATCACTGTGTCAGAGGCAACTCTTATTGAAACAAGGTTAATGCTGCCAAGAGGTTAATTAATGAGGTTAACGCTGCAGAACTAACATTCTGCTCCCTCGCCCTGCACCATCACGCCAGGAACCTCTCCTGCCACACCTGCTCCCCAGCCAGCTTGAATTGACAAGCCCTGCTCCATGTGCCGGCAGAGCCGCACAGCACCACCACATACAGCACCAGTGACTTGCTTGGAGATCTGTTGGAATGTAAGTTCTTTATGACACAGTAGAGATAAGAAGAGATCTTAGCAAGAAGCCTTGGGATCTAAACAAAAGCAAGATAAGCAAGCACACTTGTAGACTGTGGTAAATCTCTTCGTGACTTTGTTTTGCCCCATCTATCATTGTAAATTGTGATAAAGAAATGCCTGCCTATCTGTTTGATGAGAAGCATCTCCCTGGGTTTCCTGGACCTTTAATCCCAGCTATGAATGGAATGTCTGTCCCTCCTTCCACAAACCCTATACATACCGAAAGTTTGAATTAATAAATGATTCAGTCTTGTACACGCAAACTGTATCCATGCAATAATTCAACTGTTACAGAGATCTCTGTGCCCCTCCCTTCCCACTGCCTGTGCTGACAAGGTGGTTCCCAAATCCTGAGGAAGTAGGGCACCCTGTTTGAGATCCAGTAGCTTAAAGCTGCTCAATCCATTCCTCAAAGGCTTTAGTAGTATGCAAGATGAGAATATTTTCACTGGTTCTAGGAGAGCAATGTGAATTCCTTCAAAGAGGCAAAATGCAACAAATATAACTGGAAATATTCCTTATCTTCTGGTTACAATAATGTGCAGAGAACACGAACCAGCTTTTATAATATGCCTTTCTTACAGAAGGATCCCAATTCACTTCTTAAGCAAAAATGCCTTATAAAGAGCATGATTTAGTTGAACTCTTCCTTACAAATCTATTTGCCAAGCCTACTGTTCAAGTCCTTGGAAGCAATTTTTAAAGGGAACTGCATTTACTAGGACATTTTCTAATTATTGTCACTCTTTTATTTTAACAAAAATAGAAGCAGTGCCCTTAGAAATGCAGTCCATTTCCTTGATGAGCCAGCTTTTCTGCATGAAATGTATTTTTATGCACAAAAAAATCAGATTTAAGTATGCCTAACAACTCAATCAGAAAGCGAAGTAATGGGGACACCTAATTTACAGCCTTGAATTTCCAATATTGCCCTCTGAAGACTGCTTTTATTTCTTTCCCTCCCTTCAATTCTAGTCTTTCCCAGTTAGAAACAACCCTCCTAAGCACAAGAATGTCTTATAAAGAACAGACAATATATTTTACTACTCAGGCCACTTTATTTGGAAGCAGTTTCCTACTATCATTTTTGCAAGACAACATAACAAATTTACTTATTTCCCCACCTGTACTCTTACTGGCCACTTCCACAGCACTGTATGCCTTCTCTTTTTGCTGCTGCTCTATTTGTTTTGATATGCTCATCATCACAACAATGGCAACTCAGAATTTAAAAACACCAGCTCCATCTCTCTCAAAGGAATTCTCTCCCTTGATGTGCTTTTTAGTATGTCATATTTCACCACGAAAAAGTGCAGGGGCTGTCAGTCCACATTCACTGTTTTTCAAGTCTACTCTCCAATAACTTCAGGCTAGCTACAATTTTTGCCATTGATACCATGCAAAAAATCTTTAGGTTCAAATCCTTGAAGTCTGCCTCATCATCTTTTTCTAATCCCTTTCCCATCCCTTCAATACAGGTTGCTATACTCTAGTTTCCCATATTATATCTATGTAGGACACACAACTAGTCTCACAGTGACATTTTTAAGGGTCTCTCTTCCAAACCTCCAAGCTCAAACAACCACCACATCAAACTATATATTCAACCTGCTTTACCAGTTTCTATCTAGACAGTTCCACTTATTTTTCAGCATCTTGAGAAGTTCAGTCTTCTTGAGCCCAAGTTATCCTTTCTAAAGATATATAATGAAAGCCATTTATTGTGATCATAGGAAGTTTCCATCTTCCCAGCTATACTCCTTCATGAGCTTGGCAGACTTCCAAAGACTTTACAAGCATAAACTAAACATACCATCTTCCCTATACAGCTGGGCTTACTGCCTTGCATTTTAGACTGACAGCCCTAGTGAAGCAGCCAAGAGTGCAAGTGTTTTGATACAAAAGGACCCATCTTCCACTGCTGCTAAGGACTGCAGTAGTCCATCGCTTTTTGAAACAAACAGTGATTAGATGATCCCTCAGACTAATCTAAGGCTAACCTGGCCTGTGATCTCTCTGGCTTTGCACAGAAACGAACATCAGGGGTTTTATGCACCTTAGACTTTACCACAACTCCAGCATTTCAAAAGGTCCCTGAAGTCCCAATTTCTCAACCGCTTCATGTGCATCCTCCAAACAACTTGTTCCGTTTGTTAATGGCAACGCAGGCAGCCCAAGGGCAGTGGACACGAGAACTAGCATGAGCAGGACAGAAACTTTACTTAGAATCCATTTAGTTGTGTTAATGCTAGTAGTGTACTTGAAATACAAGGTCCTTGGTGGGAATCAAAGTTCTCTGCTAGCATAGGGAGGGAAAATTACCAGAATTTGTCTAATGTGAACAGACCTAGAAGTACTATAGCCTACTCCGTGCTCAGACTGCATTTACTGGAGCTTCTGAACAAAAAAAAAATAGAGAATTTCCATGATATTAATAATAAAAATCTTGGTCCTTGAAGACTAGCAAGGTAGTCAGTAGGGACTGACTGCCTCAGTTTTGGCCTAGTGAACTTTCAGGTATGTTACAGGCTCAAACACTAAATAGATTCCCTCCCACTGCTGTGAAGTTTTCATGTGAAAGAAAAATGTTTCCCCCAGTGCTTGCAAACGGAGGATCAAGCATCACTTTAAGAGAGAAGAAAACACCTCCTTTTCTAAAAAAACGTTAAAACCCAGATGATTTTCAAGCCTCTCTTCCCGACACCACCATCACCACCACAAAAATGCTGACAGTGCTTAGTCAGAAATCACTTGGGCAAATACCGGTAGACTCCCTTCACTTGGTCGGTTTCTATGGCAGCGTCGTCGCAGAGCGCGCAGTAGTAGTGGTAGCTCCTGCGGCAGGCTCTCTCCTCACAGCCCACTGTGGCTCCTTTCTTGCGGCAGAAGTTGCACACCTAGAACAAGACGGGGTGTAGCACGTAAACGGCACAGGCGGCTGCTGAAAATCTTGCCACGTAAGGCAAATACCATCCTCCGCGGGAAAGTCCAATATTTCATTGCAAGTCACTTCTGTGTAATTCATTAGGCAAGCTCACTCCTGCAAACTCCCATCCTGGTCATAATTTCAGCCACCTTTTTGCTACCTTTACCTCTACTTTATACAGATACATTTGTAAGATGATGCAAACAGCCACGTGAGGGCACTGGGTAACTTCCCCAAATTACTTCAAGACCAATGGGTATTAGTGTTTGTATTTATGTTTTCTAGGATAACTTCATAATGGAAAGAGTTCCACTCAGGATGTAGGGGAGGAGAACAGCTGAAGACAAAGCCAATTACAAAAAAACCCTCATATAAATGACCTTTGTTCTGCTAAACACAGAAGGTGCTTCCCTTTCCACTTATGGATTACATGCTTTTGTTTCAGGCACTGGCTTAGTCCTTCATCAAAGTCTTAGGAAACTTTGACTAAGGACTTAGAGGCCAGAAACAAACAAACAAACACCTGCATTTTAATACAGAATGAACTAAATTTCACAGAATATAACGCCAGTGATTCTAACATCAAATCTGTAATTTTCCTAATCCTAGTAGATCAGAAGGACTAGGTATTTTTATGTATTTCTTTTAAAGCACAGAACAGGCCAGATAACCTTCAGTACTATGAGACTGGACTAACTGCAGATTCAGAAACAAACTCCTTACCAGCCGCTTTCCTCTCCTGAGCTCTTTCAACACCGATGCCACATCAAACCTTATATCCAGATTTTCTGGGTTATACTCTTCAGATTCCACGAATCCTGAGGAAAATAACTAAAGACAGAAGGGACAATATTAAGAAATAAGAGTGACTCAGTCACCAGTGCAGAAAAGAGACAAAGAGCACATCTTTTCTTCTTGCACTTGCCCTACCTAAGGAGGTTAATTTTCCTCTGGGTTTTTAATAGGTTTCACCTACGCTAAATAAGGAGCTGTGCTTAAATATTTTTGCAGTCAAAGGAAGCTCCTCTTCTACACAGGAGATTTCACATGACATGAAAGTGAACTAAGAAAAGATAATGAGGTAAGAAACTTATTAAGGAACATGAATAAAAAAAATGTGGAATTCCAGCCTGCCCAGAGTAAGGAGGAGAAGCCAACAGACATCCACACCTTGAACATCTTGTTATGTGCTCAGTTGTTCAGACTTACAGCTGGATGCAATATTTCTCTCTGATAAGATTTCCATACAGCCCAATGCTGACAAGAGTTGACTGCATGAAAAACATAGGAACATTGTACAAAGCCTGGGAGAAATCCACAAAAAATATATACATGTACACTTGGGCCACTTTAATTCCCACAGAACTGCTGAGCCATGACAATGAGTGAGGAAGGGGAAGTTCTTCACAACTATTTCCCAACAACTGTATATAGCTAATTCCAAACAAAGGCAAGCTACCCTTTCATCAACTGGCAGGCACAGTCTGTCTGCTCAGAAGGTGATAGCTAACTGCAAAAAACTCAAACAGAACAGATAAGTCTAAGGCAAAGAAATGAGTAGAGTTGCTGGCAAGAGAGAAAGAAGAAGGGAGAGAGAAAAGCGAGGAAGAAGTTTCAACACTGGAGCAACATTAAAGCCCTAATAAAACCTATTTCAAACAAAACATCCAAGTAACACTGTAAAAGAGGTATCAAATGTTTCTGAAATATTCTGTGACAAAAAGAACTAACCAACCAAAAAAGGTAGCTGAAAAATAAAGATGTACACATAAAAACTGTGAGAATAAGAAGGCTGGAACAGCAAAAGCCAGAAAACTATTCTAACAGCAGGCATTTCCTGCACTAAATGACCCTCAGCTATATTCTCCCTCTCCTGAAGGGAGAATACAGCATCTGCACTTGATTCTGCACACCAAGAACCGGTTCCATCAAGATTCCAGAATAAAGGGGAGGCATTCTGACAGCAAGAAAAGTAAATGCATTCTAGGATCACAGCACACTTCAAGCTTCACAGATATTTTTATAAAATAAATTTCTGATATTTTTACTTCTTATTTTAAATAAGGCACAGACTGGGAAGTTTTTTTACCTTCATGTATCAAGTGAATACTTTCCTGCAAAGGTTTCAGTGAGTACACAACTTCCTATGTGTAGATAAGAACTTCCTTCTTATCCAACTTAGTGTCTCGAGAAGACCTATTATTACTAGTAGACTGTATGTGTGCCTAGAATCACTGATCAGCTACAGACACACATGAAAACACCAAAAATCAACATGTCCAGCAGTGCAGCCATGGCCTCTCCCACTCCAAAATCCTGGCCAAGTTCTGATGCTTTCCATAGCTTTTCAATCTGATATAAACTTGCTGGTTTGAGTAACCAGCCTTTCAAATCAGATACCACTGTAAAGTCAAGAACAAAAAAGCAGTGGAAATTTCCCCCTTATCCCTTCTTCTCCACTGGTCTTAGGTACTGACCGACTAAAAGCCACTCACCAGACAATCCTGATGAGCTGCAATATCGCTCTCTTTGGCAACATACATTACAGAACCAGCCGCCCCTTCTGAACAAAATGCACATGTTCTTCTCACCATCTTCGCCATTATCCAGAAAGCACCTAGAGCAGGAAAAAACTGGGACAAAACACAAAGCAGTTGATGTAACCACCATACGCCAAGCAGGACACAGAAAAGCAGAGCTTGCTAGCACTTGTCCTCTAACTGCTCCTTCTCTTACATCTCCTGAACCTTGGTGTTTTGCTCCTCCAGCAACAACTACCAGTAGAATAGGCAAAGCCCACTCTTGGGACAGCAGTGGGATGGAAACCAGCTCGCAGGAGCTCCAACTGTTAGAGCAGGAGGAAAAGTGGTTTCTCTCTTCTTGGAAAGTCACTAACAAGTCATAAGGGACAACACAAGTTTTCAAGCTTGCTTGGTAATACCTGCCCCAACAACAGGACCCAAGGGCAGCCCAGCAAGTCACGCCCTAAGGAGTGAAACTCCTTCCACTTGGAGGAGGTCAATCACTCATAGCAATGCTTTTCTTAAGGTACTTCTGTCACATGTGGGTCTGCAAGTCAAGAGAGGAGAGAAAATCAACTGTCCCCAAACATCTACAGTGCATTCCAGGAGTTCACAGAAAACAAGGAAGAAACACTAATTCCTTACTGTAAGAAAGATGTAGCAAAGAAGCATGGAAGGGCCTGTAAGTAAAAGGGGGCAGAAGACAGAATCAGAAACGAGAGATTTGAACGTTCTCTCTCAAAGAGGTGAAGCGCTAACAGGAGTGACAGAATTTTCTCTATGCCCTGGGATTTGCTCCAGGCACACCTGTTCTCTTTTTCTGGCCATATCCACTCTAGTCTTAATTGTTGTTCTTCACACAGTCTCTCTTTTCCTCCAGCAGCTGCAAAACTTTGAGGCCATCTACTTATTTCACAAAAACAGTCTACATGCATCTGGATGAGCCTTCACACATATCCCCCATCAGTAGTTTAGAGCACCACACCACAACATCAGTAGCAGAAGTTTTACTTTGCGTTTTTTTGTGCAAGTCCACCGCAGAAATCTTCAACAACTTCCCACTCCTACTAAGTGTGATACTCCACTGCTCTTTGCTGGAGACGCCACCTCTGACAGCACAAACTCCTGTATGACAAGGGGAAGAAAAGTCTGCATTTACTTTCAAGAAATAAGAAGATCTGAAGTTAAATTATTCTAGTGAGGGAAAGGTAGTAAGGTCCAAGTACAAAATCTCACAGTCCACCAAATCTTGCAACTTTTATCTGGCTTTCAACAAACTGTTTTCATTAGTTCCCATCTCCCTTGCATAAAACAGACTGGGTAGTCCCAAGTGAGAATTGCACCAGAGCAGAAGGAGATTTTTTATATGTTTTCTCCCCTCTAGCTCATGCTACTGAGAATTTACTTCATCACAACAAGCCACTTTACCTTCACAGACATCTAGGGGGGGATTTCCCCTCCATCCTTCTACCTCTTGTAAGCAAGGCAGGATAGGGACTGATTTCCAATATCCATCTATACAGTGACCATCACAACAGTCTCAGAACTTCAGCATTAAATAAATATGATAGAAACAAACAGAAATATATAGAAATATTAGAAACAGAATAGAAAACAGACAGAAAGAAATTTAAAAGGAGAATGAACTGGAGTTTGAATGGTCTAGAATGCAAGAAAAGTTCTCTGTGGCAAGCTAATACCTGGAACTGATGCGGATACATAGGCCCTGCTCAGGCCCAGTCAGAGGAACCAGCTCTAGGAACTTAGTGAGGAAGAGGCTAAAGATGGAGTCTACAGACCTGGTGTTCTTACAGACTCAGGAGAGATCACTCATCAAATAATATCACAGGCAAAACAGACTCAACTTGGGGATATTAACTGAATTTATTACTAATAAAATCAGAGCAGGATAATGAGAAATAAAATAAATCTTAAAAACACCTTCCCCCCTCCCCTCCCTCCTTCCCAAGCTCTACCTCCTCCCCCAGTGGCACAGGGAGATGGGGAACTGGGGTTACAGTCAGTTCATCACATGTTTCTGCCACTGCTAAGGGAGAGAAGTCTTTCTCCTGCTCCAACATGGGATCCCTTCCACAGGAGACAGTCCTCCATAAACTTCTCCAGCGTGAGTCCATCCCACGGGCGACAGTTCTCCACAAACAGTTGCAATGTGGGTCACTCTTCCATGGGGTGCAGTCCTTTGGGCACAATCTGCTCCAGCGTGGCTCTCCCCCAGGATCACAAGTCCTACACCAGGAAACTTGCTCCAGTGTGGGCTCCTCTCTCCAAGGGTCTGCAAGTCCCTGCAAGGGGCCTGCTTCAGCATGGGTTTCCCACGGGTTCACAGCCTTCTTTTCAGGCATCCACCTGCTCCAGTGTGGGTCTCCTCCAGGGACTGCAGGTGATTCTCTGCATCCCCGTGGTCCTCCATGGGCTGCAGGGACACAGCTGCTTCACCATGTTCTGCACCGGGGGCTGCAGGGGAATCTCTGCTCTGGTGTCTGGAGCACCTCCCCCTCCTTCTCCACTGAGCTTGGTGTCTGCAGAGTTTTCTGCTGTCCTCTCATACACACACACACACACACACACACACACACACATATAGTTTTCTACTATATCCTCTATAATATTCTTACTCCACTCTTCTCTGACCACAATTACATCTGCCCGATAATTTTTTCCCCTTCTTAAATATGTTATCACAGAGGCATCACTATCACTCCTGACTGCCTCAGCCTTGGCCAGTGGCAGGTCCATCCTGGAGTTGGTTGGCATTGTCTCTGTCTGATATGGGGGAAGTTTCTGGCAGCTTCTCACAGAAGAAACCGCCCCCCGCTACCAAACTCTGGCCACGCAAACCCATGACACGCCCACAGGAGCCTTGCTTCAGTTCCTTCCTCTTCCCTAGCTTTCTGCTATGGAGTACTGCCCAGAATAGGACATGTAGCTAAACAGGGCAATGGATTTGGCTGAGTGCTCCCATGCAAGAAGGGGGAGGCTAAAGGCAGGGTTCCAGTTTCACAATTTAATTACATTTCACCCAAACAATGTCTTGCTTTTGCAGGGCTTAAGTTAGCTGCTCACAGATTCCAGTGGAACCCCAAGATCTGTCCAAAAAGGCAGGAAATCCTTGTTCCTTAGTCTGCTCTTCCACTCACACTCATGACAGCAAAATTCTTATTTCTCCTACTGTGTCTTGTTCAAGTTGAGGAATCTGTTCCTTGTCCAGAAGCTGGTCTGCATCTTTGATCAGCTCCGTCACTTCTCAATCCCTTCTCTACTCTTGCTTGCTCCAAGAGGAGCAAGCCATCTTCAAAAGGGTGGGCTACCATTTACAGTACAAAGTCACAAAGTCACTCTGTATCCTTTTCTTAATAATTGTTAATATTCCAATCACATTTTAGACTGCTTCTGAGCAAAGAGCTGACACTTTCATGAAACTATTGCTGGAAGCTCAAAGCAGTGAAGCAAATGCAAAGCTCAACACGCGATGAGGTCCACAGTGATGAGAGCAGACAGATGGAGGGCTGGTAGTTTGTGCTGCCAAGCATCAGGGACGAATGCGAGGAGGGGTGGGAGCCACATGGTCTCGTTCTTCCACTTGCTTACCAAGACTGCTACCAACTACACCTCCTGAGTACTCCATGCAATGCGACCACAAAGAATGGAACACTGGACGACAGTCCCAGCCACAGCACGTTGTACAGTAATGGTGAATAAGGTATAAAAGTACCCCAATTCATACCAAACTGGGAACACGAGAATTTGACATGGAAGTTGTAGAGACAGATCAAAAGGTTTGTCCTCCTCACCCTCCCCAGAAGGGATACCTTTCAGTGAGACTTGTGTACTTGGCTACATGAAGTCACAGAATCACACGATCAATTAGGTTGGAAAAGACCTCTGAGATCACTGAGTCCAACCTATGACCAACCACCACCTTGTCAACTAGACCATGGCACTGAGTGCTATGTCCAGTCTTTTCTTAATCACCTCCAAGGATGATGACTCCACCACCTCCCTGGGCAGCATATTCTATTATCTAATCTCTCTTTCTGTGAAGAAATTCTTCCTGATGTCCAACCTAAATCTCCCTATGTTTTCACCCAGAACATTAAGTTGTGATTGCAACTGTGTTGTTAGTGTTTTATAGAGCTATTCTTCAATAACACGCATATATCTCGGACAATTCAAAAGAACCTCATATATTACATTTAATAAGCCACACTCTTCGTGAACCCGACTGGCTCCTTTGAATGTGACCAGACCTACAGTTAATTGACTATTCCTGCACCCAATATCAGGCCTAGAATTGTGGTTTTGCAACAACTACGTACTACAGTTCCCCAGATCTCTTTCTGAAGTGGTATCAGATAGTGCAGAGGACATCAGCATTACAGTTACTACTCTGACACATCATATCCCACTTATCAACGTTGGATTTTCATCTCCTGATTTATAGTCAATCCCTTGCTGTCACAAAGTCCTTCTGCAACCCTCCGTTTCCACTTTTATTGTCACAGGAGCAGGCTGTGGGAACCCAAGGGGACCAATTCACCCAAATGAGTTGGAGGCCCTTCCACTGCCCTCCAGTCAGAAGACAGAGATGCAGCTGAGAGAAAGGAACAGTCACACCTGGCTGCTTCCCCTGTACCTGTGCCATTTCCTCGAAGTAAGCCTGTTGGGGTTGGTTTTGCTTTTGCAATTGTGACAAAAGGTAAGATACTGGGAAAGGAAACAGAAAGTAAAAGAGGACAAGGACATTGTTGGCAAGAGCACACTTGTGCCACTTCCAAATACATCCTGCTGAAACATCACCAGTTTGCCTAAGTATTTCCTCTCCAGACCCAATTCTGAAAGCATCCTTGCACGTAAATACACGCATTTTACACGGGAGAAAACTAAGGCACAGAATGTCACGTGGCATATCCATAGAGGGGAAAGGAAAAGAACCCAAGTGTCCTGACTTCCAGCACGCCAAAGAAACCCACCGCCCCAGCTCCAGCTCCGCTCTCCTCTTCCCCGCAGCGCAGCGAAGAGGTGGATCTACGGAAGCAGGAAGACAGAAGGAAATGACATATCAGCTCCCCCACACTCACCGTGCCCCCCGTTTCCGCTTCGTGGGGAAAGAAGCCCAGCTGGAGATGGAAGTTAGGGTTAGGGATGGGATGGGATGGCTGGGCACGACCCACACGCGTCACCCCCCATTCCCCCCAAAATCATTACAGCACAAACACACCCAGCCTTTACGAGGAGCAAAACCGAGCAAATCTGCCCTTCTGAACACCTTTCACTTGTGGTCACCTCGTTCCAAACCCCTGCCATGGGCAGGGACACCTTCCACTAGACCGGGCTGCTCAGAGCTCCATTCAACCTAGGTCTTGAACACTTCCAGGGATGGGCACCCACAGCTTCTCTGGGCAACCCGTGACAGGGCCTCACCGCCCTCACAACGAAGTGTTTTTTCCCGATACTCACCCTAAACCTGGTGTCGCCCCGCGGCCCCCCCGGCCCGGCTCAGCGCGAGCCCCGGCAGGGCCCACTCCTTGGCACTGCGGGGACGGAGGGGGGGTGACCACCGCTCAGCAGGCGCCGAGTCTCGCGCACTCCCTCCCCTCCCCTCCCCTCGCCTCCCTCCCTCCCGCTCCGGCCCCCCCCGCGTGCCCGCGGTGGCACTTACCGCCGCGCCGCCCGCGCCCGGCTCGCGCACGCTGCGCTCCGACCGCCCCTCCCTCGCCCCAACGCTTCCCGCGCGGAAGTGGTGAGCCCAGCCGGGGCCGGAGCATGCGCGGGTGGCGCGCCGTCGATGCTTGCCCGGAGCACCCCCCTCCTCCCGGCACTGATTGGCTCCGGCCCCCGGGGCGGGGCCGGAGGGGAAGGCGCGCGCCGCCGCGCCGTCAGTCACGTGATGGGGTGGGGACGCCCGGGCTCCTCCCCGCCCTTTCGTGCGGGCCGCGGTCCGGGACCGGGAACACGGGGTCGATAGTCGCCCCCGGCGCTCCCGGGGCGCCGCCGGGCAGCCGCTTCCCGAGGGCTTTCCCCATGGGAAAGGCGACACCCCCATGCTGCCATCGGCCCCCCGTTCACTTTGCACAGAATCACAGAATCAATTAGGTTGGAAAAGACCTCTGAGATACCGAGTCCAACCCATGACCGAATGCCGCCATGACAACCAGGCTGCTGGGAAAATCTTTATTTGTAACAAATAGTGTTATACGGGGAAAAAAACCCCTTCCTTAAGAAAGGATGTTCTTTGATGTTTGATCTTTGTAACCTTCAAGACTAATGAACAAGAAGGAAGATTCAATCCATGAAAGAGATGGCAGCCAACGAGCAATGATGTCAAGGTGTTAGAAAAACAAATTGAAGTTCAGGGCATGACATGCTTCAGTGATTGCAGACCTGGGAGAGAAGGTTAACATAGTTTGGGAAGAAGGATTTACCACTGAAAACAGACAGGAAGAATGCAGAATTTACAGGCCACAAGGACATTTGGCAGAACTCATGAGATAAGAAAGAAACTCATAAAACCAACTCCATAATTGTGCTGCAGTCAGCTCCAAGTGGGTAAAAGGCAATTCTGGCAGGGGGGATCAGAGAGTACTGATCCAGGAAACCCACTGACTGAAAAGAAAGGAGAAACTGAGCATGCAACTAATTAGCATGAGAAGAGAGAGAATCATTAATTGATAGAAGATACAATATGAATACTGGAACAATGTCACTTGTAGCCAGTGAACACTGATTCCTTTGTTTGCTAAAGTGTATACATAGTTAAAAATTTTGATTATCGGGGTATGTGTGTCAGGAGGAGCAATTCCCCCACGCACCTCGAGCCAAAGATAAAGTAATGCCTGCTCAGCTTTCTAATACTGAAATTACAGTGTTACGAGAGTTTTATTTTCCCGACATTTTCAGTGACAATTTCTGGTGATTCAGATGGAACCCTGCATCCAATGCTTGACAGATTCACAGGATCGAGAGGACTCCAGTGTGCCCCAGAGGTTTTTCAGGGAGATCCTCTGGTCCCCTGATCTATTGAGTTCAAGGCATGGCCCCTGGGATTTATTACGGTGTTACTGGGGGGGAGGGGGGCTGGAAAGTCTCGCTGGATTAAGGTAAAGGGAACTTGGAAACTAGGTTTTGGGCTAGTTTGTGCATAATTATGGGGACATCCAGAGTGCCAGCCCTACGGAAGGTTAAAAAGTGTGAGCAGGTTTTGCACACCCCTCAGGGTTAAAAGTGTGAGTGGCTGTTGCACATCACTCTCAAAAGGAAATGAAATTGTGTTTTATTATATTCTATGAAGGGTTCTGGTCAAACATCAAAAGGGGGGCCTTTGGAGAAATCACACCTAGGATGTATTTTGAAACAGTGGAGGGAGGTGGGAGGTGCAACAGGAGGCTCTCTCTCCAGAAAAAAAGTTAATTGAATACTGTAATAATTGGTGGCCTTTGTACTCTTTGGATGATGGTGAAAAATGGCCAAAGAATAGAACTTTAAGTTACAATACAATGAAAATACCTTGTGAGCACTGATGCATATGGGCTTGGGAACTGGGGCACCAACCATACAATTAACACATGAATAGCAGGTGGTTCTTCCAAAACTCATTTATCAAGGAACAAAGCAAGTTGTGGGTACTAGTCTCATGGTGACCTTTTCCATGGCAGGTAATTTGACTACAAGCCAACCACTTTATCCCATAAATGACAGCCTGAGTGAGCCTTCTTTGAGCTCTCCCTGTTAAGCAGCTGGCTGCATGGCAGTGATCTCCCCCTGTGAGCTGGGACACCTCTCAGTTACTCCTCGAGGTCGGGAGACCCGAGCCCAACTGCAGGTCCCTGGTAAGTGACTGGGGGATTATATAATCTTGTATTAGAGTGCACTAGATTTTGTATTGGTAACTGATTTTGTGTTGGTAATTTTAAATCATTATTATATCCTGTGCAGTAACAGAGTAAACTTTGCCATCAAACTTTTGTCAAGTAACACTTTTACAACATCTTTAATAAAACCACTTTTTCTGATACCTTTGCTGGTGGTTCTTCAAGTGGTCTAAGTGTCCCACCTGTGACACCTCCTTCTTTGCACAAGGCTCCAACACATTCAAAAGCCACATGCCTGCACACCCATCCCTTGCTCCATTTCAGGGCCACATCCTGCATCTGCGCTCACTGTCCCCTAATGTAGTCTGTTTCTCTCTTACCAACAAACCGCATGGCAAGGACTTCTGTGGCCCCCCTGTCCCATGCTACACAATACAGCACTGAAATGAGGTACGCTGGATTTCTCAAGGAGTTCTCTGTGTGTCACAAACGTGGATGTAATGGTTGATAAAGGCAAGGATAAATAATTTGCTGATCAAATTAGGTTTATAATAATAAAGTTTGCAATGGAATGGTTAATGTTTTACTTAGGTTGCAAAACGTTAAATTGCAAAATGCTAAACCGCAATGTTGTGTTGCCATGGCGAGTTATATCCTGCTACGCTAAGTCTATGCTTAAGTGCACTTATAAGGAAGAAAAAGCATGAAGCTATATAAGAAGGACAAAGGGGGTCGGCTAAAGGGACCAGAAAGAGGACCTACTCCCTTCATCCGGGGATTGCGATACGGCGAGTACTGAGGACTGCTGACTAACCAGACTGCTGGCTGGCCCCTGGCAACAGAATGAGGTCCACGCAGTGAGAACCAAGGATGAAGTGGAAAGAGACTAAGGGGGAGGGGATTGCAGCAAGTATAAAAAAGCGAGCTTTGGTTTATTGAGCTTGCGGACGGTTGGCAGAGCAGGAGACTCCCCGTCCGCCCAGCGCTGTTTTGCTCATTTGCCTTTAATAAATTTTGGTATTTCAAATTTTAAAATTATTTGTGGTCTCTTTGACTATAATAGTGGAGAGGGATGCCTTTTATGATAAGGTAACCCATGTAGTTGATCTAGGGAAGCCAGTTGATGTACTACTTTCAGACTTCAGCAAAACTGTTGCTACTGTCTCTCACAGGTTCCTTCTGCACAAAATGTCCAGCACACAGCTGGATAAACACATTATGTGGTGGGTGAGCAATTGGCTCATGGGTGGAGCACAGAAGGTAACAGTGAACGGAGTGACATCAGACTGGTGACCCGTCACTAGTGGGATTCCACAGGGCTGCATCTTGTGCTCTTCAACATCTTCATAAATGGCTTGGACACAGGACTGGAAGGGATACTAAGCAAGTTTACGGATGACACAAAACTGGGAGGAGCTGCCTTGAAGGGAGAGAGCCCCTGCAGAGAGACCTTGACAAATCAGAGGGCTGGGCAATCACCAACCACATGACGTTCAACAAGGGAAGTGCTGGATTCTGCACCTGGGATGGGGCAACCCCGGATGTTCATACAGACTGGGGAATGAGGTGCTGGAAAGCAGTGCCATGGAAAGGGACATGGGCATCCTGGTCGATGGCAAGTTGAATCTGAGTCAGCAGTGCCCTGGCAGCCAGGAGGGCCAACCATGTCCTGGGGGGCATCAGGCAAAGCATCGCCAGCCAGTCAAGGGAGGGGATTGTCCCGCTCTGCTCTGCACTGGAGTGGCCTCACCTTGAATACTGTGTGCAGTTTTGGGCATCACAATACAGGAAAGATATTGAGCTGTTAGAGAGGGTCCAAAGGAGGGCAACGAAGATGGTGAAGGGCCTTGAGGGGAAGCCGTATGAGAAGCGGCTGAGGTCACTTGGTCTGTTCAGCCTGGAGAAGAGGAGACTGAGGGGAGACCTCATCGCAGTCTACAACTTCCTCATGAGCAGAAGAGGAGGGTCAGGGAAGAGGAGGGTCAGGTACTGATCTCTTCTCTATGGTGACCAGTGACAGGACCTGAGGGAATGGCCTGAAGTTGTGTCAGGGGAGGTTTAGGTTGGGTAACAGAAAAAGATTCTTCACCCAGAGGGTGGTTGGGCACTGGAACAGGCTCCCCAGGGCAGTGGTCACAGCACCAAGCCTGTCAGAGTTCAAGATGCATTTGGACGATGCTCTCAGGCACAAAATCAGGTCTGACTCTTGGGAATGGGTGCAGGGCCAGGAGCTGGACTCGATGATCCTTGTGGGTCCCTTCCGACACAGCATATTCTGTGATTCTGTGATTCTGTGAACCCAATAAGAAGCAGGCATTTCTCTCCTGCAGTAGCAGAATTTGCCCAGCTCACTGTTCTGATTAATGTAATCTCTGTTCAAGATTATTTCTCCCACCGGATCCATCAGGCTTAGGTGTATTTTAACAGTTCTAAGCCCCGAGACAGGCAGACTTGCATTCACAATGAGTTTCAGAAAAGCAAGTTTTACTAACTCAGCACTGTGGGAGGGCACAGAAAACACCAACAAACTCTTGCTCTCATCAGTTGTGTCTCTGCTGCAGATGGCACGGAGCACAAGTTCTTCCAGTGCACTGTGAACTTTGCTTGTGGATGAGAAGAGGGGAGGGGGAAGACCAGGAGCACAGAAATTATCTAGGAAAAATTTGATACCTGTTCTTAGGACAAAGAATTCTAATTCTGTAAACTACAAAAGTGACATTTAAATGTAAATTTAAAAAAAATCAGGTGAAAGGCATTTTAATTGAATGCAATTAGCACCACAGACTTGAGCACACTGTTCGCTGTGTGGTAGTCCTGTCCAGCATATAAATCCCAGGGTACAAGGTGTGTTGGTAGTAGGGAAGCTTTGCCTATAAGATTTTTTTCCTGCACTTCTGAACTCCACACTGACAGGAAATTTCTGTCTCTGGCATGCTTCCAGCTTCATAGCCATAATCCCACGTGAGTTCGGTTCCAGCTTTCACATGTCTAAGAAACAAAACACTCGGTCAATTTGTTTGAACTGAGTGAAAGGGTACTGTGTTTACAATTTGTCACCAATGACTCACATGCAAACCCAAAAACTGTATGGGGCAGGGACCATCACACAGGCAGCTTGTTGGGAGAGAAACAAGATATATAAGGAGTCTCTGACACACATATGGTGCTTGGCCTACCAGAGCTGTACAGAGTGCAAATACCCACACACAGATGAAAAGAATTTATCAAGCAGTGCAATAGTGTCGGAGTCTAAACAACCTGCTTTTAGACGAAATTCTGGGAAACAAAAATCAAACAAAACAACAACAACAACAAAAAAAGGAAAAATACATAAGTGAACACATCCTAAATGAGAACACAGTTTTGTTATTTTTAATAAGTCCAGTGCGTCACTGAAGTTTGAACAGATCTCTATATATGCTGGCCATCTTTGGCCTGACAAGCTATGTTTTAATGCAATTGCACTGTCTATATGCACAAAGACTCAGAATTAAACACATGCTCCTCATGAACCAGCTGCTCTGACAGTACATGAAAGAGAAGAAATTTCTAAGGTAGGAAATTCATTGCCAAAAAGGAATGCCAAACTAAATACCTTAGACTAATATGCTGAGGGACAACTGATGGAAAATACAATAAAATATGAGCATTATAAAGAAAAGAGTAATTCTCCAATGTTTCTCATTGGATACAATGTAAGGGACATCCAGTGAATTACCAGGCAGCAGGCTGAGAACAAACAATGAGGACTTTTCAAACAGCACATTTTAACCTGGGACTTGCTGCCTTAAGGTGTTCTGGAGGTCAGACATATAAAACAAATGAAAAGGTGACTGGGCAAGTTCATGGAAGGTACACAATTAAGCTCAATGATCCAGATGAAGTCCTTAATGTAGAAAAGTTGTAAAAGGGTGATGTCCAGTAAATGTGAGAGCCAGTCAGGGAAACTCTCTTTCAACAACCCTTCTCTTTCCCTAAGATTCTTTGCTGATCACTGTTACCTCTCTCTACTTGCCTCAGTCCCCACTACACATATCTTTACAGAGTACCTGAGCTAGAAAGTCTCTAGCTAAAACAAAATCTTTTTTCTGACATATTTCAACACATTGTCTTCACAATTTTTGGAAGCCTCCCAGTGCAATCCACAGCATCTGTGTTAGCTTGGACCAGGGTTGCAAGACTCCAGAGAAGATCAATGTTCCCAGGAACTGGTTTGTCTGGGACAAATTCTCTCCTATTTTAAGTTCTTGCCTAGTATCACAGCTGGTACATGCATCAGCCAGATTCATTCAGGCAATTAATCCTTCCACCCCTGGGTTTAGCTGCCCTCTTCTTATGTCTTACTGGAACCAGCTCTCTGTACCACCCTTTCTATCAGCCACTAAGGAAATACCTGCATCTTTTGCTTTCAGAGCAAATTTTCACCCTTTAAGTATCCTAATGCCACCTCCCTGGGACATGTTGGGCCCTACACAAAGTCCTGCTTCTCTTGATAGGTGTGAGAAGGCCTGAAGCTAGCTTGTTTGGCCCACAAAATATCTCAACCTTAATATTCTGTGGGGTTTCATCCTGCCCTATGGGACCAAGATATGCAGGCCATTCTTTGAGACAGAACAGTGGGATGAGTGAATCTTGGCTTTTAAAATAACCATGCCGAGTTAAACCTATTTGTCCACTGAAGAAGATTATCACTGAAATGGACACATCAAAATTAAGCTTCCCCACTTCATATTTCAATGCAAAACTGAAGAAAAACTCATCAGTGATAATCAAGAAACTGTATTTCTTCTGGTTTTAGTGCACAATAAGAACTCACCAATAAGAAGGTAATTTTGTGCTTTCATGATCTAAGCATCTCCCTCACCCCTCAGCATAATTATGTCCTAATAACTAAATACTGATTTTTTTCCCCTAGTGCCTTGAATGAACAACATTAACTTCCAGAAATTCACCTGTTTGTGAAGAATGCCACCCATGGAAAACTTCTGTTGTGAGTCTCTACAAACACGCTTTGTGCAAAGAGATTTGGGCAGCAGCTGTGCTGTAAAACAGGAAATCTGTATTAGAAACAGTGAAACACCACATCATTGGCTGAAAAACCTATTTTATGTCAGATATTTGTCACTAGAAAAGGTAGCTTCTTCCTTCCCATCTCCAGCCCACACAGAATGTCTATTACTCAATGCCACTGCCACTTATTTTTGCAATAATTATGTCTCTTTAAAGTGTCACTTTTTGCCTATGAAAACCAAGTTCTTTTATCAAGTTGTTCTCCAGAAATTTATGGAGAAAATTCATCTCAGATTCAGAATGCACCACAAATAATCAGTATGTGACAGATGTATCTTGCTGTCAGCCAGGGGAGCAGTGCAAGGGAGCAAGCAATGGAGTAAATGATCGTGTGTCAGCAAAGTGCCAGATGTGAAAGGTGATTCAGGTGCTCATAGGAACATGTGTATGTTCATGGCTGCAGAAGAAGGTTTCTGCAAGATGCATTACTAATCTTAACACATATTACCTCTGCAAGGAAGAACAGCTTAAACATATTGCAAGGATTTTGCTGTAAGACACATATTCTGCCAATGAAGAGAAATAAGTCCTTTGCAGAACATGTGCAGAAATGTCTATTCATCTTAGCTGGAGGTACTTGGTAATTCATTACTATTTATTTCTTGGCAAGTCAAAACTGAGAGACTTATTTAGTAGACACGTACACAGTAGGACAGACCACTTTCTGAACCTATGATTGAACAGTAGGGAAGTTTTGTAAAATATCAAAACACTTGTCCTGAACCAGCACTAACTAGAATTTACAATGGCTGGGAGAAGGCATGTGGATCAACAAGAAGTGCCATTTGCTCTCTGGACCTCCCAGAAGGCTATCAGGATAAAGACATCACTCATTACTGGGAAATGTCACTAAGGAACCCAGTGGTGCCAACACTACAGCTGGTATGTGGCATACATCAGCTTGTGAAGGCACTAACACTGACCCAGCCTACTGTCCTGTCACTTGTGATGGCAGGGAGGACCACATGTGCCTTCCTTTCATGCATCTACCTCATATGTGGTTTATGTGCAAAAGCTTTCTAGCTTAAGCTTAAATAAATAAATGATGTATTTGCAAAGACAATGGAGAGAACGCATGCAACTTTTTACTTACATTTAGAAAACGACCCACATTTCCTTCTTTTGTGGCATCCAGTACATAAATATTTTCTTCACTAGCATTCTTCGGAAGCATCCCATCTCCATCAGCCTCCTCACAAAATGCATCTTGACTCGACTGCCTGCTATTTTCCTCTTTGCAGTCAGCTTTTAGGGGTATATTACTGGATGGCCTCGCAACACATGTGTCATCCAGCACACCTGACTTGCCACAATCAACACCCTGCAGAGACAGACTCTTTCTTTTGCATCTCTCACTGTCCACACCAACAGACTCAGTCTGTCCAACTTCCATCGGATGGTCTTCCTTCTGCTCCTCGGTGGATTCTGCCAATGGACATGTAATTATTTTTCAACATCAGTTTAAGGCCAAAGCCTTTCCCTTGTTTGGCCCTGAACTCTTACCCACCCACTCTTAAAAATGTCCTCCAAAATCTAACCATCCTGCTATTTACAAGTCTGTAACACAATCCCCCTTTTCTATGCCTCTCATCAATCCTCCCACAAATGACTGTTTCCCGCTGTAGTGTCTAAAGCACTTGCTCAAGGCACCTGAGAGTGACCAAGTCTCTCACTCTTCCCAAATCCTACTCCAGACTGATTTCTTCCACATAGCATTTTTTCATCATTCTCCACCTTAATTCCCAAGAGAATTACAAACTATAATTTAGACAGAAACAAGATACAAGTGCAAATAGCATCGGTTTCACACTGCCTCTCCAGCTTGAGGTCCCCCCACCCCTGGATTATATCCGGTTCAATTTTTGTTGACCAGAATATGTACTGGGTGTGACACAACAAGATCTGCAAGACTGACTTTCCCACAATTGTATTGTATTTAAAAGCTGCTGTCAGGAGAGTTCAACATGTCCCCAGATCAACTTTGCAAGCAAAAGACTGTCCTGTACCCAGTACAGTAGTGCACTGTGTTAATGCAAGGCAGCAATAATTTCTGTACCACTGAGCTCTCTTAAAACAGCTTCCACATCATGCAGACATTGTTCTACTCTGAGAACAGGCCTGCCCACACTGTCTACATTAAAAGTCTACCACCTGATGGGACACAATCATACTAAGAATGCGGTATGTATACCTCCAAAAACCTACTTTCTTTTCCTTTCTTTGTTCCACTGTTTACTTTTGTTTTGCTTGACTGATGAATCTGAGAACTATTATCTTCATCTGAGCTGGCACTGTGCACCTGTGTGTCAAATGAAAAGGCTGTGATGTATTGTTGCTGTGTGCAACTCGGAGTCAACACAGTACAGCAAGTGGCCTCTAGAACTCTAGGGCTGCAGGTTCAAACCTTCTGTAATGCATGGCTGTGGCTGAGTTTGAAAAGTTAATACATTCACTGCAATGCAATGTTTATCTTAATTTCAAACGATCCTTCAAAATAACCGGGAAGGAGTTCCCCATGCAACAAAACATTTAAGTAAGTGTCTAAGTCCCAACAATTTCACCAGAATTCTAAGTTGCTGAACCAAAGCCCAAACATGCTTTTTACAGAGTTTCAATGAAATGAACAGATGTGGCAGGATTTCTCCTCTCCTGCCACAAAAAGGCAACCACTTACGGGAGCTCCAGAATGGAGCCAAACGTTAGCATGAAAATCCCATGTGCATTTTTTAAGTGCAATGAATCCAATAAAACCTACAGAGTAAGTTTACCCCAGTTTTCCTCCTTTACACATATTTGCAGGCAACACTTCACACTCAGATCAGATCAAATTCTCCCAACTCTGCCACTGCATGAAAAAATCGCGTACAAATCCCAAGATTTTCCTCTTTCCCTGCTACAACATTCTTTTGGGAGGCATCACAAAAATATTATCACTCTCACACCCTAACCCTGTAGTTAGTGACAACAGGAGGTGGAGGGGGAGAATTAATTCCTAACATTCTCAAGGCTGAAGTGTAAGTGAAGGGTGGAGAAGGGAAGGTTGTGGGAGTAGTTAGTGCTGGTCTGTAGGAACATGTTGAAGGACTGATAATGGAGAAGGGATGGGGTGCAGCTTCCAACATGGCAGCTTAGCTCACAGTGTGACACAATCTCCTGAAGAAAGGTCATTAGAACTATCTAAATGTACAAGTTGAAAAGGTCAGAATTAACATAAATATTCAGCACAGAAAAATGAATCTATTAAAGCCTATTATTATTATTATTACCATTTTTAGCTGGTGACTGTGAAAAAAACCTGTTCTTCCAGGCCTTGTGGTTGCAATACTCGAGTTCTCTGGATGAACCCTGTACAGAAAGGTCAAAAGGAAATTATAAAAGACAGACTCACAAGTAATTCTCACAACACACATTTCTCAGCCTCTGGTTCTAGTCTCTTCTCTACAAGAGCCGACAGCAGAGCCTGCAGTCTGGCCTCACCCCATGTTCTGTGATTATTTTGCCTTTAAGAATTGAGGACCTAGGCTAAGTTCTGTGTAGTATTTGTAAAAAACCAGTTGTTCATACCTTTTGAGGGATCAGTAGCTGCTGACAGTTTGTTTCCCAACTGTCCAGCTGAGAACCAAACTGTCTGCTGTTTTACTATTATTACATCAGATCACCTCAAAATAGAGCACCTACAGACAGAGTTTTGCCTTTTTCCTGCTACTACTTCCAACAGTTTTAATAGTGCAGCTTTCAAACAGGAGAGCAAAGATGTTGTGGGTACAAGGGACAGCAGAGGGGGAGAGATGCAATATGTGGCAGGTTTAGAAAATACTTTCCCTCAAAAGGACCTCAGTCCTTCATGTTAGGAGTTGAGGAAGATGGGAAGTAGTATTTGGTATATACATTTAAAACATCTAAAGTCACATTAATTTGGATTACATTCAGACTGCAGTAGAAGACACCAGTTTCAAAACTAATATTAATATCTGTAAAATGTCTAGCAATAAATAACAGCCCTTATTCAAGAAAATTTTCAGTGTAAAAAAATGTGTTTTCCTGCCACAAAAAAGAAAATCCTGGTACTTCTTTGGGCTACTGATAATTGCAAGAAATGCTGCTCTTTAAGGCTTTCTTAAGATTTAAACTCCTCTGTAAATTCAAAATGTGCAGAGGCCACAAGAAAATGTGACATTATTACATGGTTACATTGTTTATTCTTTTAAAGGCAATCTGTTTGGGTGAATGACACATCAAGCCTAGCACACTGATGTCCTCTTAAATGTTTCTCAGTCCAGCTGGACTGACTGTCATTTCTTAAGAGGCAGAATAACAATGTCTTTTTGTCTGTCATATTTTTTTTAATACAGCCCAGGTGTAAACCATTTTTTAAATCTCAGGAAAGGAAATTAATGAGATTTAAGGTAGCAGTGTAGTACAGGCAACTTTGAAACTCCGCTTGTCTACAATTTTTAGTAATGGCACTTAGCAGAAGTAAAACCTAGCTGATTACTTTTAATTATGTAGTTAGACAATGATGAATTCACTAGGCCTCCAAGATGCTGAAATGCAAGTGAGAAAATAGTAGCAGATATTTTTAAAAGTTTCCATTTGCAATTTCATGGTACTTCTCAAAGTTCCAAAATAATCTGCTATTATGAGAAGAGCAAGAATTTGCAATCATTCGTGAGTAGTACACAGAAAGTGCTTACAAAGCAGTGTAGCAGAGCAACAAAGAAGCTCCCAACTTCCTTCTGAAAAGACTTGAGCATGCTATTGACACAGCCACGTGGTTATTTTGCAGTAATTTTATTTTAGGAATGCTGATAGGCTATGAGACCCTGAGTATACAGTGAAAACATAATTCACTGCAAAGGTGAGGTGTTGTCAGACTCCTAGCAGGAAAGGTTATGATAGAAATGAGAAAAGGTTTAGAGACTGGTAGCAAACGACAGGACAGTTAGTGGCTAATATGTCATTAAACCCTTCAGCATCATCAAGTATCTTTAAATGATTTATCTCAAGTATCTTCTATTAATTGTTTCAAAGTTGCATCATGATTAATGCCCTGAACAGATCAAGTACATCCAAGAGATGAAGTGGCTTTCTAGAAAATGCCAAGTGGTACACATAGTAAGTAAAATTCACATAGAGGAAAACTCTGTCCCACTAGAAGAAATAACTGGGAAATAACAAAGAAGTTCAGAAAGAAAAAACCCACCCTCATTTGAGGACATTCAGTTCTACTCTAAGTTATAAAACAGAATTCCTAGAATAGCAGAATATTGATTTTGTTATGCTTAAGTTTATTTTGATAAACTTACAGGGTTGATTTATTTTCACTATCCACAGTTTGAGACAAAGATTCCTTATTCTCAAGAATGTCATGTTTACCCGTCTGCACTAGTTCAATGACTGAATTTGAACAATCAGTGTCAAGTTTTCTTTTTTTGGAAAAAACCCCATGGTTTCTGTCATTCACAGCACTCCTTTCTTTCAGCTCTTGACCAGCATCTCCCAATACTTCAGCTCTGCTCATTAATCTGCCTGAAAGCAAAAGAAAAGTTTGGTTTGCTTTTTGTTTTTTTTTAAAGTTTGTTTTTTTACCTTCACACTATCATAGGTCAAACTTACATTAAAAAAATAAAAGAACATTACTTGGGAAAGCAAAATATGAATGCAGTCTATGATTCTATGATGTCAATAGAGGCTGACACAAACTGAATTAGACATACAGCCCTCAGTACAGCATGCACAGACTTAGGAGGTAAAAAATCAACAGTCTGAGATAGACTTTGCTCCAGAATGTTTTGATTGTTTGTCTGTCACCATTGCATTGCAGAGTTCTTCAAGGTTCTTCTGTCCATTTGATCATGTTGCAAGTTAAGATTATATTGACACACTTCTCCTCCAACCCCATATTTCCGTGTTCTCAAAAAAAATCCAGGGCAGAGGCCACAAGAGAGGGAAAATTATGCTACCCATCTTCCACAGGTCACCTTCTGTTACCTGAGTAGGTACAAACAAATGTCCCCTTGTCGATATCATCCAGGCAGCGGACACCCCAGCCTTTCTTTTCAGTGTTGAACACCTGCAACCTGACTTGAATGCCGTGCTGTACAACTCTGTTCTGACACATCAACTTGTCACACCTGCATAACACACTGCACTCGTAAATTCTGTCAAGAGGAAGAAAAACAAAACACAATATAAAAGGATGCACTACTAAAAGTTTCTATTATTAATTTCCCTTCTAAGCATCAATAAGGCAGTGGACTGAAAAGATAAAGACTGACTAAAACTGGTTGTGCAGCAGTGCTCTGGAAATCGTGACTTTCTTGATTGCTGATTCATCAATTTTAAGAGTCTGTCAGCTAGATTTTGGTAGCAGCAGACAAGAAAAATAAATGCTAAATTTTTGTTTTATAGGAGTAAATCTCACAGAAGCAGAAATCCCTATGAAGCACCTCATTCTACGCTGGAACAGATTTTAGCAAAGACAACCTATATGCCTGAACCTCAATGCAGTTGTCATGAGTTTAAAAAATTAACGAAGTATATCTAAAAGAACTCACAATTGTGATTTTTTTTTTTTTGCATTTGTTTCCTGGTTCCCTGACAGCTTTAATTCTGCACGTTAACCATAAACTAACATCGCACAGCAAGAGAGAACTGAAAGGGCTCCTTAAGCCTGTGGGTTCAAGCCCTTGGCTATTGCAGAAAGCTGCTTTGCACGATTCCTCTTCTAAACACTTGAAGTAACTGGCACCTTCTTCAGGCCACATATTAATCCACAGGAGCTGAATAATAGAAAGGGCAAACACTTGAAGCATTGGATGGCTTTGGAGACTCTTGGAAGAGTCACATATAACCAAGTCTGGCAACAGCAGCTGCTCAATGCTTCTTTAGGACTCTGGTCACTCTTTACACTTTTCTTAGACCTTAATCTAAGCTGTGAAAATTGTAGGATCTGCAGTAGAAGAGTTTTTGGTTTTTTCCTCCTATTACTCAAGTCACATTAATTATTATCATCCTGATCTGTCAGTAAAATTTTGACAAAAAATAGAAGGTTTCAGTTAGCCAAAAACTCCAATTATCTTAATCCTGTAGCATTTACACTACAGGAGTAAAATAAGAGCATACAAATAAAATAGCAGTTAATAGTTCAGTCTTTCTTACCCACTAGGAACGGGTCCCTCCAGTCTTTTGTAACGGTATCCACGGCATCTTTTACTACCTGAAGATAGAGAAGTTTTACTACAGCCTCTTGCAGTTAGCTGTAGGCATGCACATTTTGACCTAAAAGTAAGAATAAAACATCTCAGAATGTATTTGGAGCAGCGCAAATCAATCATAAATCTAGGTAAGTTGAAATATACTTAACTATACACACACACACACACACACACACACACACTTGTATATATACATCTATATTCCCCTTCCCCACTTCTTTTATTCCACAAGGCTGTTTCAGGCACCCTACTTTGTCTCTTGGCTGGTTATGTGTACTTTACAATAAACATGTTCGCTCCACCCCAACCTCATTCTTCCACCAAGCTCCTTAAATGGCACATGCAAACAGCTGAAGGACAACAGAAATTTATTATAAACAGGACACTATCAAATGGATCGAATCAACAAAAATCACCTCTTCTGGCACAGCATTCCAGCCTGTTAACTGCTACTTTGTTACTTTCCTCCCACCTTAGCCCTCGGGAAGTGAAGAATTTCACACTGTGGAGAACTCAAGCAACAGCGCTTGTCTTCACCATCGTATGGCACAACAACTGCAAAGAATCACAGCGATCGTGCAAATCCTGAATCCTAAAACTGCACGTCAGAAGCATTTCAACTCTTGTGGGACTTCACTGCTCAGCTGAAACTAAATTATTTTAATTACTGAAGCTTCTTTATACCAGGCTGTGATTTCAAGGTCTTGTTGGGCCATGGGCAACTATGCTGCACACCAGCACATGCAACTGCTCCAGCTATCAAAAATACAAAATGGATCCAATACCAGGTAACACCTATAGATGGGGATCAGACAAACACCCTTCAAGAAAGCAGACAAAATTATCACCAAACTCTCATACAATAACTGTGGCAGGTTTCCACAGTGTGTCTGTAGCCCAGAGCTACTGAGATTTAGAAAAAGCAATGAACAACACTGTTGGAACTGCTCAGACCATAAATGTATTCTGTGACCACAGGCTTTCATAGTTTCTGTTTAGACAAGGGGAAGGAAAGGATGTAGAGGTTGGGAACAGGGTAGTTTCTTCCTCTGCCCTCAGTAACCTTCTAAGTTCCAAACGATCTGATCCCTTCAGGCTGTCCCATCCCACCTCTAGGACACCACAGTAGGGGCTGCAGCAGATATTGTCATGTGGGATCCTTCCCTGCCTGCCAGGAAAAAATTCTTCCTCTGCTGGCACAAGAGTCTCTTTCCTACACCTTTTCCAAAGGCAACAGCCCTGCTTGTCAGCTCCACCTGGAGGAGAAGCACTGCCAATTTGTGAAGAAAGGGAAAGGAACAAAATAATCCACCTGTTGGACACTTCCTTCACTACAACAGAGGGTGGACCAGGAGGAGCACCCAAGTTCTGGTGAAGAGAAAGACACAGTGGTGTTAGTCAATACTGAACATGGCACAAGACAACTCCCACAGATACTCCAGCAGCATTGGTCCTGTTTGACACTGTTTGGTACTGTGCACCTTCACACACCACCACACTGCTGTTGTGGCATCGCGTCACTGGACTAAGATTAGATTTTTCTACCTACCTATCAATGCAGCCATCTGTGCAGTCACATGAATCCACAAACAGGCTGGAGAAGTTGTTGAGATAATATCCCCGTGGCCATGATGACTTCCGATATTTGAAGTAAGGTAACCTTGCGCGGTCAAGATTGTTACAGAAGGAGATGGGCACAGACTCGGCTCCGTTGCTAATATCAAAGTCAAACACAAGGGGTTCGGGATTCATGGTGTTCCTGCCCAACAGTACATATGTGTTGAAGGAAAAGTGATCAACAAATAAGAAATTGCACTTTGTTTCAAACAAATAATTTTGCACATCTCGAAAGCTTCTCAGACTCCGACCGCAAGGAGCTTTGTAATTCACATCCAGTGATTTCGAAAGGCAGTCTGCTTTTGCGTGCCGTCTTTGAAAGTGGAACAGGATTGGCATCTTCAGAGGGTTTTCACCCTTGTAGGAGCCCGCTGCTTTCTTGGCAAGACAAGCACTAGAGCACTTGTGGTTCTGATACTGTAGGTTTAAAGGTAAGTGTTGAATTTCGCTAGATGCTTTTTTAGTCCCTGACCATGTTCTTTCCATCTCCTCTTTCTTGTTACTTGGAGTAGAAGAGAAAAAAAAAAGAAAAAAGAGCAGCATCTTAGACAACCAGCGAAGCATTCAGCTTTTTAGTGGTTCAATATTTTTAGCACAGGAAAGAAACAGCCCATTCCTGGAAGGCCCAGGGTTTCACTGAAACACTTTCACATGGTATTACTGTCCTAACTTCATATGAAGATATATTCAGTTGCATTAAAAAAAGAAAAAAAAAAAAGCAACAGCTTCTTAGCTTCTTCCCAGAAAGAACTTACATGCTAAAACACAGAAAGGATGTAAAAAAAAAAAAAAAAAAAAAGAGACGAACAACATATTTACCCCCCAGTCAGTACCTGAGGCTAAATACAGAGGGACTAAGTCACATGCCTGACAATATGCAAAGTACAGAAAGCCTGAGAACTGCTGCTTAAGTCCTAACCCTGATAATCCTGGTAATACTCATGAATCTTCATTCACAACCTAATGCCCTATTCTGCAATGTTCTCATGGGGTAAATTAGACAAGTCTACTTAAAACCTCACATTTTCCATGTAAGTCAAAAACATTTTCACTTTGAAAGCTGACAGAATTCAAAACTGGGTTTAAAACACTGACTTTAGAAATACAAACTGAGAACTCTCTCAAATGCAGTAAAGAACATGTCAAATAAGGAACTGAAATAAAGACGCTGACCTGTCAGAACCTTCTACAGCATTTGCAGTGTTGTCATCTGCAAGAAGATGCTGCAATTTGGGTTTGGTTTCCTGTACTCCATCTCCATCAAACCCATCACTTACTGAAAAAAATGAATGCAAGCAAAAATTCCGTCACCTCACATTTCAATCTATAATTGAATTTAGTTACTAAAGAGAAAATTGACAAAATACATTAAAAATAATGCATTGCTATGAAGTACAGCTAACAAAGAGCATGTCAGTAAGTGCCCCACTAAAAATTCTTCCACAGTTTTCAAAGTGACCAGAAACAACACGCACATGAAACACATTTATAGATTTCCCTTCATTATTTGAGATAAAAGAATGCCAAAGTATTTCAGCTAGTGGAGCCATGCAGGGAATAACTCTGCTTGCAGACAGCTCAGGTTCATCAGGGCTTACTAGTTCAAACCAGTTCCCTTGGCACAAGTATTATCCACACACACACAAACCACAGAAATACAAATCCAGGTGAAAGTTCACAGTCCAGTACCCGAGGAAATTAATAATTATATTTTCCCCACCGTAATGCTAATGGCCTTCTCAGATCTGTTTTATTGATTTCAAATGCAGGAATTAAACTTCTAGTGAGTAAAACAGGAAAAAAATGAATCCACATACCAAACAAATACAATTGGGATGCACATACCGTTTGTCAAAGTTAAGAGATCACTTAGATTAGCTTCATTCACCAGTGCCCAAGCCTGCCAGCATTCTGTGCAAAAAAATCCAAACCAAAGCAGATACTTAGTGTAAGTGAAGAAATGATAATAGGGAAAACAAGGTGTAAGTGCACCAGAGAGACTTGTTTCCTCATTAGGCTAATCTAGAGTATTGCAAGACTGATACTATTAGAAACCTTTTGCAGCACAGACCTTAACAGACACATTTAAGAACTGCAATAAAATTACAGCTCACAATAGTAGTTGTAAATTAACAGTGAATATCCCTTGGCTTTTGGAAAGCTGTGGGAATACTTCCAAACACACACAAACTGGTGGCCTACAGTAGCAGTAATACACAAAAAGACAACTTAGTGTGAGTTTCTCTCTTTACTCTGTCACCAGTCTAGTTATCTTCGAGCTAAGAAGAGCCACGCTTTGTCTGAAAAAGTGTATCGGCAAAACAAGAAAATAGCAAAATGCACCAGAGATCGTCTTTTTTTAAAATGAAGAGACTTTTTAAAAATGCTTAAAACCACCAACTACTAAGTAATTTAAATTCAGAGACATCTGAATTATGTCAGATATCCCAAAGACCTACACAAAGCAGGCCACAGCTCCTCTGCAGTCCAGCTTAACAGCTACAAGGATTTCAAACCTTGGTTTGTGGCAGTTCCATTCTTGATCTTTTCCTTTAGCAACAGCAGCACATTTTGCACCTGCTCAAATATGACATCCACTCTTCTACTTCCCAATTGTGTCCAAAACGTTTTCAAATCACCTGAAATGCAAATTCCTGTTTACAAGTCTGTACAGCTCCTGAGAAGTCTAGAAATACATGTAACTTCTAGTGGACTATTCAAAGGCTCCCGCTCATTTCATTTGGAGGCACTTCTCAAAAACCAGTCAGGACAGCAGAACAGCTTAAACCTTCAGAAGTCTATTCCTAAAGCTAATCAAGAAAGTGAAACAGAAGTCAAGTGACGAACTGGAGTGGGTTCTGATGGACCATGATGCTCCTTCAAGCAACCTTTGAAGCATGTCACAAAGGGTGCTGTGGAAGCATTTCTTCAAATACCAGAAAATGAGTCCCACTATAAACAAATCACCACTGAAACTCACAGGAGTTGCAAAGCAGAATATTTTCAACTCAGTGAACTGCATATATTATTCAACAAAAGACATTCAGAATTTTTTTTTTATTGCTGTAACCTCTCTGACTGTCCTGTCCCATCATTAGTTTTGGTATGTTTTCTAGAGAAAAAAAATATTCACAATATTTTCAGATAAAAGCAGCTTGGTAAATTTTGTTCACCAAGTGATATCAGTTGAAACAATTAATATACCCCATATGTCATGCCTCCTTCCTCCACTAGAAATAGTTATAAAGAACATTTTGTTTAAAGAAATTCAAGCTACTGGTTCAGAACATACCTTCTCTTCCAAAGGTATGTACTTTTGAGGTACTAAGCCCATTCATGAAAGCTTTTGTTAAAACATGAGCAGTACATCTTTCTCAAAGGAAAAGGAAATAGGGTTCAGTGTGTCAACAGATGATGCCTGAAAAAAAGAACAAGCTCTTTCTTGTGGTTAATGTTCCTCTTCTTCAATGACCAAGCACAAAAGAATAAGCAAATCCTACTCCATTTCTGGAGGTGGAGTCCACTGTCAGACTAGGTTTACATTCCACTTTCAGACAGCAAATCTCAGTTGGCAAATGTGCTGGGGTGACACCTCCCCAGCAGCCAAGAAATACTGCATTCTTGTAAGTCTTGTAAAAAAGTATTTCCTTCATTTTTGACTTACTAGAGAATGACATCTGTTGCCCAAGGCACCAGAAGCAAAGACATTCTACTATAGTACAGAGTGTATGGTTACTCTCAAAAGCATCATGACAGCAGTGAAGGGAGTAACAATCTTTTGTCACTACAACCCCAGCTGCTTATGACACCAGCAGCTAAAAGTGTAATGTTTAATAGAAACAGGCAATGTTGAAAGTATTTCATCTTGTGAAAGAACTGATTTGGCACTAACTCTCAACATAATTTAATGATCTCTTATATTCACAGAATTTTTAAAAAAAACGTGAAAAGGTTAAAGTCCCATTACAAAAAAAGCCACAACAATTTTTGGAAGCCTACATTAGTGGTCCAAGAGACTATGCCTGCCCTGTGCCATTCCCATCCTTTCGCTGTGCATGACAGTATCACAAATTTAAAATACTGAGAAGTAAGTATATTTCATATTTGTGTTTCAAAATACACATTCAGGAATAGATCAAAACTGCTGTCCTCATTCATTACTGGTTTTCAGACACTTCAATACATTTACTAAATTCGGATGATTTTTTGGATTGGTGGATGTATTACTTCAGAGGATGGGTGACAAAACACAGTTTTTTGTTTCTGGGCCCTCAGCTATAATCATGCATAGGCCAAAGAGAAATAAAACATATGCTACTATGTGTAGTGCTCACTCACCTTAGAAATGCTTCCCCAGTTCTCATGCTGGAGTGTCCTGAAACTCTAGCAGCAAAAACTTTGTTTTGCACAGAGAAGCAAAGAACGCATATGAAGTTCACAGTACAATTTTCATTTCAAAAAAGACAGATGTCCACATCACTAATCTCTCCAATGTTAATGCTGCTACTGTCAACCCCAGACAGGAGGATAGGGAATGAACAGACATAGGAAGCATTTACCTTGTCAGCTTTCAGAATCATCTCTCCAGTTGATGACTCAAGGTGTGGAATGGCATCTGGTGGCAATAGTTTTAAAACTGGCTGGAGGGATTTTCTTTTCCCTCTATAGAATCCTTGTGGCCACATATCACTTTTTTTTTCCAGCACTGTGCAGGGCAATGATGCTAGAGCAAGAAACAAGCAGCCAAGGTCAGGGCTGCTTATTCCAGCCACTAGAAAAACAACTCGTGTGCGTGTTTCCTGCAGTGCTGCTGACTAACATCTTAAACCATAAAAGGCAAAGCTATTGTCTTTCAGTTATCATTTTCACATCAGAAGCGGTGCCAAATATACACTACCTTCCCCTTCCCCTCCATAAGTCCAAATTATACTACCTTTAATGCTCTCGTCCCTGGAACTGGTAAGGTTCTCCTCTTCAAAGAAGTCGGGCAGCACTACAAGTGGTGCAGAATGTACAAGTAAGAGATTGTGTGAGCAACCAAAATGGTTGTAGCTACTCAGCTTTTCAAAATTTATGCAAGTAAATACTACAGTGGGTATCAGCAGGAGCACTGTGTGGTGCTGTGGTGAAACAGCACAGTCATCCTCCTTTCAAATATCATCCCACACCTTGTCAAGACACAGTTGAGGAACACACAAATGTGTGAGGAACACACAAAAAGCTGCATAAGGAAGCTTTTTTACATAGTCATTTCTTACTATCCCTCAGTCATGAAGCTGTCACAGATGGCCCATACATTCCAGCACATTCAGGTGAGCCTACACGATCCCCACTGTCTATTAGCTCACAGTTCTTTTTTCTTTTTAAATTTGTGCTGTCAGTACGTCAACTAAACTAATTTATTTAGGAAAAAAAAAAGGAAAGCTTCTTTTAGGTAAATATATTACTGAATCTGTTTCTTGGCAGAAGCAAGATGAAGCAAGGTATCTACACTGTAACAACAGTAAGGAGAAGCAAGGCAGCGCTCTTCAACCACATTGAAGATTCCGAATTTCCATCATCATGAATTACAGAATAAATTAGGAAAAGACCTCTGAGATCATTGCGTCCAACCTGTGACCGAACACCATCGTGTTAACCAGATCGTGGCACTGAGTGTGACGTCCAGTCTTTCCTTAAACACCTCCAGGGATGGTGACTCCAACATCTCCCTGGGCAGCCCATTCCATTCCATTTATGTTGGCTACCTAATCTTTTCTATGTTAAAATTGAAAAAACACTGGAACAGATACTTCCTTTGGCTGAATGGGAAAATACCTTAAGGGAAGACTGTTGGCTTCTAGAACTGTTTCTCACAAGACCAATGACTGCTCAAAACATACACCTATTTATTTTTAAGGCTTACTTCTTTTCTCTTCCATCCTCCGGGGAGGCCGCTCGGAGCGCTGTCACTCGCGCCGGGGCAGTGCCAAGCCCAGCTCAAGTCGGGGCGCGCCGCGTGGGTCTCGCTGCGCTCCGGCACGGCCGCGGGCAGGGAGATGCCTGTCGGACGGGGAGCTGGCATGGGGTGAGCCTGCGGTCAGGGGCCGAGGCCCGGGTCAC